CAACACAATCAATTTTAACACATTTTCATAATCCCAAAAAGGAACCTCTTAGCCATTACTCCTCCATTCTTCCCTCCTCCAGTCCCTGGCAACCACTAATTATCACTAATTGTCTCTATAGATTTGCCTATTCTGGACATTTCATATAAATGGAATAATAAAATATGTGGCCTTTTGTATTTGGCCTCTTTCATTGGCATGTTTTTAAGATTCATCCATGTTGTAGCATAAATCATTAACGTTTTTTTAAAACAGATTTTATTTTTTAGTGTATTTTAAGGTTCATAGTAAAATTGAGCTGAAAGTGCTGTGAGTTCCCATATGCCCCCTGTCTGTGCCCCACAGAATCCTCCACTATCAACATACTCCACCAGAGCAGTACATTTACTGCAAGCTATGAACCAACATTGATACCTCATAATCATCTCAAGTCCATAGTTTACATTAGGGTTCACTCTTGGTGTTGTGCATCCTGTGGGTTGAATTTCTTTTTATGGTTGAATAATACTCCATTGTATGAATATACTACATTTTATTTATCCATTTGGGTATCCTTTTGTGTGGCAATTATGAACAATACTGTTATGAACATTTGTGTATAAGTTTTTATGAGGACATAGTTTTCAGTTGTCTTGGGAATACTCCTAAAAGTGGAATTGTTGGGTCATATGGTAACTCTTTTTAAAATTTTTTTTTTTTTTTTTTTTTTTTATCCTCACCCGAGGACATTTTTCCATTTTTTGTTCAGGTAGAGTGGGAGGGAGAGAGAGGAACAGAGAGAGAGAAACATCGATGTGAAAGGAACACATCGAGTGGCTGCCACCCGCACAACCGACCAAGGCCGGGGACAAACTGCAACCGAGGTACGCGCCCTTAGAGGGAACCGAACCCGGGTCTCTCAGGACCGCAGGCCGACGCTCTAACCGCTGAGCCAAACCGGCCAGGGCTCTTTTTAAAATATTTTTAAAATATGTTTTTATTGACATTTTAGAGAAAGGAGGGGAAAGAGAGAGAGAAACAGCAATGTGAGAGTGATACACCAATAAGCTGCCTCCTGCATGCCCCCTACTGGGGATCAAACCCACAACCCCAGGCAGGTGCCCGGGCCCAGGAATCCAACCAGTGACCTCCTGATGCATAGGTCAACGCTCAGCCACTGAGCCACACCAGCAGGGCACTTGTCTTTTAAAAAAATATGTTTTTAAAAATTGATTTTTAGAGGAAGAGGGAGAGAGAAACATCAGAGAGGGAGAGAGAACATCCATTGGCTGCCTCCTGCACACCCCCTACTGGGGATTGAGCCTGAAACCAAGGCATGTGCCCTGACTGTTAATTGAACCAGTGACCTCCGGGTGCATGGGATGACGTTCAAGCAATAGAGCCACACCGGCCAGGGCAACACTTGTCTTTTTTATTACAGCCATCCTAGTGGGTATGAAGTGTTATCTTATTGTGGTTTTGATTTGTATTTCCCTGATGTCTAATGATATTGAGCATCTTTTCTTGTGCTTATTCGTCATTTGTGTATCTTTGGAGAAATATTTATTCATACCCTTGTCCATTTTTATATTTTTAAAAAAGATTTTTTTATATGTTTTTATTGATTTTAGAAAGAAAGGGAGAGGGAGAGAGAGAAAAAAACATTGATCAATTGGCTGCCCTCCACTGGGGATTGAGCCTGCAACCTAGGCATGTGCCCTGATGGGAATTGAACCTGTGTCCTCTTGGTGCATGGGACAAAACTCAGTTCACTAAGTCACACCGGCCAGGCTGGGTTGTGTGTTTGTTTGTTTTTAATTCTCACCTGAGAACATTTTTGCATTTATAGAGGGAGAGGGGAGAAGAGAGAGAGAGAAACATCAACGTGAGAGAGACATATCAACTGGTTGCCACCCACATGACCCCAACTGGGTCCCGGGACAAACTGCAACCGAGGTATTTGCCCTTAGCAGGAACCGAACCCCGGTCTTTCTAGTCCACAGGCTGATGCTCTAACTACTGAGCAAAACTGGCCGGGGCCTGGGTAGTGTTTTTTTTTTTATCCTCACCCGAGGTCATTTTTAAATTTTTTATTCAGATAAAGCAGGAGGAGGAGAGAGGAAGAGAGAAAGAGAAACATCAATGTGAAAGAAACATCAAGTGGCTGCCACCCGCACGACCCAACCAGGGCCGGGGACTAACCATAACCGAGGTACATGCCCTTAGCGGGAACTGAACCTGGGTCTCTCCAGACCTCAGGCCAATGCTCTAACCGCTGAGCCAAACTGGTCAGGCCCTTTTTTGTTCAGATAGAGTGGGAAGGAGAGAGAGAGGAAGAGAGAGAGAGAGAGAGAGAGAAACATCAATATGAGAGAGAAACATTGATTGGCTGCCTTCTGCACACCCCCTACTGGGGATCGAGCCTGCAACCCAGGCATGTACCATGACCAGGAATTGAACCCAGGACCTCTTAGTCCATGGGATATTGCTCAATCCACTGAGCCACACTGGCCAGGTTGGGTTGTGTTTTTTAATTTAAATTTTTAATCCTTACCCAAGGATATTTTTTCCTTAATTTTTTTTTTAGAGAGAGTGGAAGGGAGGGGGAAGAGAAAGAGAGAAACATCAATGTGAGAGACACATTGATTGATTGCCTACCATAGGTGCCCTGACCAGGGCCAGGAACAAATCTGCAACCCAGGTATGTTTCCTTGACCAAGGGCAGAACCTGAAACCCTTTGGTGCATGGGTCCATGCTCTAACCACTTAGCCACACCAGCCAGGGCAAAAATGGGTTATTTTTTATTGGTTTTAAGATGTTTACAAAAGCAGAATATATTCTATGGTAAAAAGTTTACAATACAGAAATGCATACATAAAATATGAGTCCCCTTTGCTAAAAGTCCCACTGCTAAGAGTTTCATGTGTACTCTTCTAACACACATACCACACATGGATTAATTTTTAAACAAAGTAGGATCATATTGTATGTACTTCTCAGCAACTTGCTTTTTTTCATTACTGTACTATTGGGATATCTTTCTTTGTTGGGATATACAGACCTACCTCATTCCTTAAACAGCTCCAGAATAGTCCACTGCATGGCTGTACCTTGGTTCCTGATGGATGTTTAGATTGTTTCCAGGTTTTCACAATCACAACATTGCTGCAGTGAGCAGCCTCGAACAAACATTCTTGGGAGAGATTTCTGGAAGTACAAGTGTTTTTAGAGCCATCCCACAGCCTGGAGGGTTTTGTTCTGTGTACCTCTGATGGCCCTGTGTCCCACCTCATGGACATGTCTTGGCTGTCTCCTGCACAGGACCTCAGCCTGTAGTGACTCTCCCAACACCGAAGAGACACCGTCCCCTGCTGTGAAGACCTCCATTTTCACTCCACCTGTCCTGCTCAAGTTCCAGACTGTGCCCAGACCTAAAGATGACTCAGAGAATGACCCAGGCAGTGCATAGTCTGTGCCCCTCAAGAGTGGCCCATAACCTCTTCCCTACAGATCATGGCGGAGGAATGAATAAAGTTCTCATGGAGGTGCCTCGTGCTCCCTAGGGGCTGTGCAATCCCTCCAACAAGAAGAGGTTGTCAGGGTAGTGCCATCCTAAGGCCTGAACTTGCATACAGTAGGTGGTCAGGTCAGTGCTACTGTGAACTCAGCTGCATGCACTTTGAAAGAGAAATGAGTGAGGAGAGAGTGCTGCTTTTCTCTGCAGTGGCTCTGTGGCCTCTTACTTGACCCCACTGAGTAGCAAGTCTTCCCCACTAAGTTGTGAATCTTCCACCCCCCCCCCCCCACACACACACACCTGGCCCCTAAACACAAACCTTCTCTGGGTGCAAGTTTAGAAACTGATCTGTTCCCTCCCTAGAGGAAAATGAGCTGGTGTGTCAGTTTTCAACTTGGCACCTCCCTAAGGAATTTCAAAGATAGTGACTTTAGTTGTTGCCTCACACCCTGACCTTAGAATCAAACCTGCATGTGAGATAGGAGTCCTCACAAAATGCTTGATGACTGTTGGACATTAGCAGATATTCATTGAGCCTTTGTGTATGCCCCACTACTTGCTTTGGACTGGAGATAATAAACCAAGAGGTTGGGGCCCATTCCCTTAAGAAGTTTACATCCCATCTTCGTGTGTGTGTGTGTGTGTGTGTGTGTGTGTGATATTTATGTTGAAATCTAGACATGAGAAGGAGCTAGCCATGAGGTGAGATGAGAAAGGCAAGGACAATTGGCTTTGGGTGACTAGGTGAATAGAGGTATGGTGGAGGAGTGGAGACTGGGGGTAGTGGTTAAGGGATGGGAAATTCTGCTTTGGGGAGACATGTTAAATCTGAGATTAGTGGGTACCCAAGTAGAGATCAGGAGTCTGGAGCACTGGCAATTTAGTGTTGGTAGTAAAGGGTTACAAGTGGTACTTAAAGCAATGAGCCTGTGTAAGATCACCCAGTGCTTGAGTGTAGACAGAGGTCCAAAGGCTTATGCTGGGGCACACAAACGTTATCTGGTCGAGGGTGGGGTTGGTCAGAAGAGACCCTAGGGATCAGTGAAGGCGTGGGAACTTCTGGCTTGGGCCACTCAGGGTCCTGGAGGCTGTGGGAACAAATGGGTGGAGAGATTGGGAGGTGCATAGGTACACTGCGAATGTGGTCGTCGTTTTGGAGGCATCTATCATTGAGGGGAGCTGAGATGGGGGGGTGGAGGCTGGTAGGGCTTGAGGCTCCAGGAGGACTCTTTAAAAGACCTGAGAACCCAAGCCAAACGAGGTCGGATTTGAGTGCGGATGGCACTGAGTCGGGGCTGAGCGGGTAGGCGAGACGCTTCTGAGAAGACGGGGCTTCGAGGCGGAGACAACTCAGCTCAGCTCCTACAGATCGCGAGACCAACTGGGAACTCGGCCCAGGGACCAGCTGTGCCCGCGGACTCGGGCGCTCGCCTCCAGGGACCACAGTTCCCGGCATGCCCAGCGTCCGCTTACGGGGCGGGACCCGGAAGTAGTTGAGGAGTTCGGCCCGGACCCTGTGGACTCGGTTGTATGTTGACGATTTTCCGTGCTCACTGGTTCTGCGGGCGTCGGCGCCATGGGGAAGCGACAGCACCAGAAGGACAAGATGTGAGTTGAACCGCAGCCAGGCGCTCCTGGCTCTGCCTGAGTCCCCGCCTGTCCTGCGCTCGGCGGTGCCCCTCTCCTTTCAGAGCGGGTCCTCCTGTCGCTTCTTCCCGGAAGCTTGCGCTCCCTCCCCGGGCGCGGTAATTGCCCCCCTAGCCGCCGAGATCTCCCGGGATCCCGTATTTGGAGGCGTCTAATTAGACTGTAAGTGCCCTCACCTGGGCGCGGCCTTCCCACCGCCTGGGCGCTCCTCGGGGACAGCCCCCTCGACTTCGCTTTTGCCCTGGACTGAATTAGCCCGTCTCTTCTGCATCCCCGTCTCTCCCAGTGTGCTGGTTCACGCCCATCAGCTTACACACACGCTACAGAATCTTCCAATCTAAAACCAACCAACCTTTCCCGAATTTCCCTCCGGCTGCCACTGTGTTTCTTACGTGAAAGAGTTGTCTACTTGCTGTTTTCTGCTGTCTCTTGAAACTACTTTAGTCAGGGTTTCGTCCCAGCGCTACTCTTGTCAGGAATCCAGTAACTTCCATGTTGCTAAATCTAGTGGTCAGTTATCAGTCCTCATGTTGTTGGGCTCCTCAACAGCACAATGACACAGTTGACCATCTCTCGCCTTCTGAAGCCCTTCCTTGGGATCCTTCTCCCCATCTCCCAGACCTCACAGGTCAACATTCCTCAGGTTTGTTTTCTATTTACCTTCTCTGTGGGTGATCTGTCCAGTCTTTCAGTAGTCAACTGCTTACTCGACATCTCCACTTGGAGGTCCAGTAGACATCTCAAATTTGAGATGCCCCAAAGGAACCCGTGTATTTCAGTGCCTAAGTCTACTCCTCCCCCATTTTCCCTGTCTCAGTTTGCTCAGATCAGAAATCTGAGAGTTTATGTCAACTTCTTGGACCTTTGTAGTCATCTCCTGATTGGATTTCTGGTGCCTCTCTTATTTGTCCCTCTACACACAGCAGCCAGAGTAATGCTTTGAGGTCTTATGTTAGATCATGTCAGGGCCCTGCTTCAAACCCTCCAACAGCTTTCTGTCCCGCTTACAGCAAATCCAGAGTCTTACATGACTTACAAGGCTCCTGGTAATCTGACCACCACCTGTGTCTCCTTCATCTGCTGCCACATGCCCCCATGCACAGTCTGTCAGTGACTTCACCCTTTGGGAACGCAACAGCTTTTCCTGCTTCATGGCTTTTATATGTGATATGCCTGCTTGGTCCTTCTGCCTGGAAAGCTCCCCACCCCAGATCTTCACATGGTGATCTCCTCATCATTGGGCCTTCTGTTAAATTCAGTTCATTTTCTTCAGAGCCAAGCAGGACTGTTTGTATTTGCTTACTTGTTTGTATGTCCCCATGTCTAGTTTGTTTATCATTTTGTGCCTGTCACATAATAGGTGTTTAATAAGCATTTGCTGAATGAGTGGAATGATTCAGTCATCTATTACTTCCAGAAACTCTGTCTTGTTTACAAAGGGAGTGGAAGTAAGATTCTCTTTCTCTCCTTCAGGTACATTACCTGTGCTGAATACACTCACTTCTATGGTGGCAAGAAACCAGGTAAGGCATGAAATCCTTCTGTTGCCCATGGTATGTGTGTGGGTGTCATTAAGGAATGTCTTCACTATACAGTGAACCTGTAAAAATGAACAATTAACAAGAACATGGAAACTATAGCAGACAAAAGGGCTGAGGACACAGACAATTCAGAAAAGAGGAAGTACACTAAACATATGAGAAAATGTTTAATCTTGTGTGTTTGTTTGTTTGTTTGTTTGTTTTTATCCTCACCCGAGGACATTTTTCCATTTTTTGTTCAGATAGAGCGGGAGGGAGAGAGAGGAAGAGAGAGAGAGAAACATCGATGTGAAAGGACACATCGAGTGGCTGCCACCCGCACAACCAACCAGGGCCGGGGACTAACTGCAACTGAGGTACGTGCCCTTAGCGGGAACCGAACCCGGGTCTCTCTGTACCACAGGCCGACGCTCCAACCGCTGAGCCAAACCGGCCAGGGCTGTTTGTTTTGGAAGTTGATTCTCACCCCCATGGATGACTTTGAGGGGTTCAAGACTTCACGGAGGAAGCAACCTCAATTGTGGTAGAGACAGCAAGAAAACTAGAATTAGAAGTGGAGCCTGAAAGTGTGACTAAATTGCTATAACCTCATGATAAAACTTTATGGATGAGGAGCTGTTTCTGATGGATGAATAAAGAAAGTGGTTTTTGAAATGAAAACAAAGGATTTAGAATATTACATGAATTTAGTTGATAAAGCGGTGGCAGGCTTTGAGAGGATTGAATCCAGTTTTGAGAGAAGTTCTGTGGGTAAATGCTATAAAACAGCATTGCATGCTACAGAGAAATTGTTCGTGAAAGGAAGAGTCAATCAATGTGGCACACTTCATTGTTGTTGTATTTTAAGAAATTGTCACTGCCACCCAAACCTTCAACCACCACCACCCTGATCATTCAGCACCCATCAACGTCAAGGCAAGACCCTCCATCAAGTAAAAAAATTATTACTCTGCCCGGCCGGTGTGGCTCAGTGGTTGAGCATTGACCCATGTACCAAGAGGTCGCCGGTTCGATTCCCGGTTGTGGGCCCGATCCCTAGTGAGGGGCATGCAAGAGGCGGCCAATCGATGTTCTTTTTTATCAATGGTTCTGTCTCTCTCTCTCTCTTTAACTTCCTCTCTTTCTAAAGAAGAAAAATAAATTTAAAAAAAAAAGAGGTCACTGGTTCGATCCCAGGCAGGGCACATGGCCTAGGTTGTGGGCTCAATCCCCAGTGGGGGGCATGCAGGAGGCGGCCAGTTGATGTTCTCTCTCATCGATGTTTCTATCTCTCTCTTCCTTCCTCTCTCTCTAATATCAATAAAGAAAAAAAAATTATGATGCACTGAAGGCTCAGATGATGGTTAACAATTTTAGCAATAAAGTATTTTTTAATATATGTACAGTACATTTTCTCTGTACCGCAGGCCGATGTTCTAACCGCTGAGCCAAACCGGCCAGGGCTGTACAGTACATTTGTAGGCATAATGCTATTGCACACTTAATAGACTATAGTATAAACATAACTTTTGTAAGCACAGGGAAATAAAAAAATTTGTTTGAATCACTTTATTACAATATTCTCTTTATTGTGGTGGTTTGGATCAAACCTGAAGTATCTCTGAGGTATGCCATATATTTTTTTGTCTTAAATCCTTTTCTGAGGTACCCCAGGTGTTTTGATTATATTGAAAGTTTTTAATCCAAAGCAATTGCTGCACTAGGTAGTTTATATGAACTTTTTCTTAAAATGTAATTGAATTGTTGGTTGGAATACATACATGAAATTTTTTACAGAATAAATTTTGTCTCTTATTTTTGTTTTAAACAGATATCCCACAAACAAATTTTCGTCGTTTACCTTTTGACCACTGCAGGTAAGAGTCTTGAGAATTTAACCTTTCCCTTGCAATCGTTCTCTGATACTGTTATTTGACCGTGAATCTGATCCTTGAAGATGCAGATGTGGGTTCTGTCTGCGCCCCCCATGCAGATCTCACTGAATTGGGAGAAGGAGACCTAACAATGATAAGAACTAATGATTACTTTCTGCTTATTCTGTGTCTTTGTTTACAAGTGCGTTGTCTTTTTAACCTCATTCTTACCTTCCAGGGTAGGTAGACTCTGTTGTTAAGCCCATTTTACAGCTGTGGGATGGGCAGGTCTGGTGGTCCCCTTGGGCCTGGGTTTCCTAAGTCCGAGCCATGGTCATCTGGGCCCTGCACACATGCGTGTCTGCACAGCCGTCCTGCCCACCCCCCTGAGTTCTGATTCTGTATGTCAGCGTGAGCCTTGAGAACTGACAAAGCTCTCCTGGTGATCCCAGCACCCAGTTGAGGCGGGTCAGCCACATACCACAGGGTGGTGAGGATGCAGGGAAGGCCCAGGGATATAGCCGCTGGATCTGCCCAGGGTCCCCCACGAGGCTCCCATGCGGAGGGCTTTTCCCCACTCATAGCATTTACTCAGAAAGGGTGAACAAATGAAACCCAGGTGTCTTTGGCTGGATTTCTCCCCACCCACCAGGTTTTTTCATCAGCCCCATGAGAATGTCTTATTCAATTGGGTATGAATTGGTTTTATGGAAATACTAACATCCTGGGTTTCCAGTTCCTGAAAGAGGTCTCTGATCAGTGTCTTGGCCATTATTTATTTATTTATTAAAAAAAAAATTTTTTTTTCTTTATTGACTTTAGAGAGAGAGAAAGGGAGAGGGAGAGAGAGATAGAAACATTGATGAGAGATACCATTGATTGGCCGCCTCCTGCATGCCCCACACTGGGGATTTGGCCCTCAACCTGGGCATGTGCCCTGACCAGGAATTGAACTGGTGACTTCTTGGTGCATGGGTCAATGTTCAACCACTGAGCCACACCAGCCGGGCTTGGCCATTTTTAAAAAATATATGTTTTCATTGATTTTTTTAGAGAGAGAGGAAGGGAAATAGAACCATTGATATGAGAGAAAAACATCGATCGACCACCTCCTGCATGCCCCACTGGGTTTCAAGCCCGCACCCGTGAGGTACCTGTCATGCTGCCAGGCTGTCTAGGTTCTGGGGACTGACCTGAGCTGACTAAATTTATAGGTGACTGATATATAAACAAGCCAGGTCAGCCTAGGCTTTTGATGGCTAGTGACAGAAATCCTGTGCAAGAAAAGGCTCTTGATTGGCTCAAGTAAGTCCACCGGGTATGGTCTCCCTTCATCTGTGGGCTCTGCTTTTCTTTTCTTTTTTTAAATTTTTTTGGTATGTGCCCCTAGCAGAAACCGAACCCAGGACTCTATGGTCCGTGGGCTGACGCTCTAACCGCTGAACCAAACAGGCCAGGCTCTGATTTTCTTTTTAAAAAAAATTTTTTTTTCTTTATTGATTTTTTAGAGAGAGAGGAAGGGAGAGGGAGAGAGGGAGATAGAAACATTGATGAGAGAGAACATCTATTGGCTGCCTCCTGCATATTCCCACTGGGGATTGGGTCCACAATCTGGGCATGTGCCCTGACCGGGAATCAAACTGGTGACTTCTTGGTGCATGGGTTGAAGCTCATTCACTGAGCCACACTGCCTGGATTGCTTTTCTTTTCTTTCTTTCTTTTTTATCATCATCTGAGGATATTTTGATTTTTTTTTCCATAGATTTTTAGGTAGAGTGAGAAGGGGGGAGAGAGAAAGAAGTATTGATGTGAGAGAGACACATCAATAGATTGCCTCATGCACCACCCTGACCAGGACTGGGGATCAAACCTGCAAGCGAGGTACATGCCCTTGACCGGGAATTGAACCCGCAAATCTTTGGTCCTTGGGCCAACTCTCTAACCCCTGAGCCAGACTGGCCAGGGCTGGGCTCTGCTTTTCTTTTTAGTATGTTTTTACTGATTTTTTTAGAGAGAGAGGAAGGGAAAGGGAGATAGAAACATTGATCAGCTACCTCTTGCACACTCCCTACTGGGGATCAAGCCCACAGCCTGGGCGTGTGCCATGACAGAGAATCGAACCAGGACCTCTCAGTCCATGGGATGATGCTCAGTCCACTGAGCCACACTGGCTGGGCTGGGCTTTTCTTTTCTTTAGGAGACCCTTCTTGAGGTGGCAAATGGCCTGGGGTAGTTTGGGCCTCTGCAGGTCTCTCTGCCTCCACATCCATGTATGAGAACTTACCATGGGCTCCTGGGGCCTCAGGTCTTGCCTGAGTCACATGTCCTTCTCTAGGAAATGTGGGGAGAACTGTGTGCACACTCTGTAGTCAGTAGTAGGCAGGGCACCCCCAGACCATGAGGGCCCCACCAGAGTCTCTTGGGATGGGAGAGGGCAATTCTCAGTAGAAAAGTGTGGCCTGCCTATGCCTGCTATGTGAGGTTTTGGAGAGCAAATTCCAGTCCTGCCTCTTCCAGGCCACTTCAAGGGACCTCTTTTGAGCTTGAACATGATCACATGTGTGTTAACATATCACAGCACAGGGTGTGGAGAGGTACAGGCTGCAGTTGTCTGAGCCCTCTCACCACCTCCTGGAACCCTTTCCTTGAACTTACTGGTTTGTGCTGGGAGCTTCTGAGGGGCAGGGATATGGGTCCCCTCTGTGCTGGTGCCCATCCCAGGCTGTGCAGAGGAGCACCAGAATTGTTGGAGGAATGACCAAAGGAGGGAGGGGCAAAGGGAGACGTCATAGGAGCCATGTGGGGGTGGCCTGGCCAGTCCATTGTGTGACCAGGATCATGTCCTTTTTCAGTCTCTCTCTGCAGCCCTTCAACTACCCGGTCTGTACCCCTGAAGGCGTCGTCTTTGACTTGCTGTGAGTTCTCCCTTGACTTTAGAGCTAACAAACGGGGTGAAATTGTTGATATCCACTTAGGAAGGGATGTGGGCCCAACGGGGGGGTTTACGGTTCCAGGCAGTACCAAACCAGGCCTCAATGAGGTCCTGGGCCTCTTGCAGACCCTGGAGGGACTGTCTGGGCCTCAGAGATGAAGCAGCAATGCTGCTGTGACCCCTGGCAGGCAGCTTTACTGTCAGGTGCTACTGTCTCTTCCTGGAGTGGCATTGATCTCCCCCCAGGTGGGATCCTAGTGTTCTAATTGGCACTGGTGTACTTGTTTTGGAATGTTAATTAACTAAATATTTTTCACTTTAGGAGAGTCACAATTAGGGTGCATACTTTTCCAGTGTTATATTTTGAAGCATTATGCTCAGTTTTATGTTCCAACATAAGCCAGCTTATATACTGTTCTCATGTTTCAGACTTATTTTAGAAAAATTGAAAACATTTCAAAGGAAAATTTTACTGTAATCAGTCTGGGATAACCACCGTCACTATTTATACTCATCTTTTTCTGTGAGTTTATTTGTGGTAACATGGTTGAGATAATACCGTGAAGATAGTTCTGGATCCATTTGTAACCCAGTCATCATGAGAGCTTTCCCCCCATGTCATTAAGAATTGTTTAGGCCCTGGCCAGTTTGGCTCAGTGGTTAGAGCATCGGCCCTCAGACCGAAGGGATGAGGGTTTGATTTCTGGTCAAGGGCACATACCTGGGTTGCAGGTTCAATCTCCAGCCCTGGTTGGGGTCTTGTGGGGGCGGTGCGGCCAGTCATTGTGTCTCTTTCACATCAGTGTTTCTCTCTCTCTCTCTCCCTCCCTTCCATTCTATCTAAAAAGCAATGGAAAATCCTCCGGTAAGAATTAACAACAACAACAAAGTTACAATGTTTTTGTTGTTGTTTATCCTCACCTGAGGTTTTTTTTTTTGTTTCTCATTGATTTTTAGAGAAAGTGGAAGGGAGGGAGGGAGAGGGATGTTCGAGACACACATTGATTAGTTGCCTCCCGCACGGGGATTGAACCTACAATCCAGGTGGGTGCCCTTGACTGGGAATCAAACCTGAGACCCTTTGATGCACAGGCTGACACTCCAACCACTGAGTCACACCAGATCAGCATTTATATACATCTTTTTTTGCTGGTTTGTGGTGTTTATACATAACTGCAGTAAAAACCCTGAACATACTTGAAGCCACGTTAGCAGAAACATCTCCTGCTTCCTTCAGTGAGGCTAGGCGCTCCTCTCCCTGGCCTCTGCTAGCAGAAGTGAGGCGGAGCAAAGCTCTGCACAGCTGTTCCCGGGAGCAGCCTCCTGGACCATGCTGTACCTGCCTGTGGTGCTGATGCTCTCTGTTCTCTTCCCTTCAGGAACATCCTCCCTTGGCTTAAGAAGTACGGGACCAACCCCAGCAGTGGCGAGGTAGGGGTGTGCAGGAGTTTTTAAGTGATGCCAGTGAATGCTGTCCCATGGTCTGTCCTTTGGTTCTGTGGTTTTTGTGTACGCACAGGTGTGACAGGATGATTCATGGGCACAGTGAGGGGACTGTCCTCTCTCTCTACACCTGTTCCTTTCCAGGAATGTTTCCTATGTGTGCATACATGTGTACAGGAGTACATCTATCGTTGGGCCATGGGTACGATCACGTGTGAATTCCTCTGTATCTTGCTTTCGCATCCCTCAGCGTGTCAGGGATATGAGTGTGTTCGTACATAAAGCCTTGCCTCGTTCTGGGGTGGCTGTGGGTGCCCTCGTGTGGGGGTACTGCAGGAGGTTTGAAGTCACGTGCCGCTGCAGACATTGGTCAGGGAACACCCTTCTTTGGGCACACACGAGTGTCGTCCTGGGACTGGGTCATGGGGTGAATGCATTTTCTATTTTGGTAGCTACTGACAAATTTCCTTTCAAAGTTGCACCATTTTAAACTCCGAACAGCAGTGTGTGAAAGAAAAGGCCTATTTCCCCATAGTCTCAGCAACACTAGATACCATCTATTTCTTTGATTTTTTGTTACTTATAGACAAAAAGTTTTCTATTTTTATTTGAAACAATTTTTTCTTTATTGCATTTAGAGAGAGGAAGTGAGAGGGGGAGAGAGAGATAGAAACATTGATGAGAGAGAACACTGATTGGCCACCTTCTGCATGTCCTGCACTGGGGATCAGCCTCACAACTTGGGCATGTGCCCTGACCGGGAATCGAACTAGCAACCTTTTGGTGCATGGGTTGATGCTCAACCACTGAGCCACACCAGCCAGACTGCAGCAGTGCCATTTAAACTGAGACTTGGGGAAAAGGGGAGACGATGGTAGATAGGGCCACATCAGGGGAACCTTGAAGCCCTGGAAGGAGCTTGGGTTTGTTCTGGGTGGGCTAGAAGCCAGGCAGAACTTTAAACAGGAGTGTGTTATGATCAGGCCTCAGTTTTGAAAGCTCATTCTGGCTGCTGTGTGGGGAACAGACTGTAGGGAGGCGAGGGTGAGTCAGAGAGCAGCCAGGGAGCTGTGCACTTGTCTGGGCAAGAGGTGCTAGGTGAACTTGGACCAGGGTGGAGGCCAGGAAGGTGGAGCAGAGAGACTGGACCCAAGATTGCTGTGGAGGTTGGACTAGTGGGACTTGCTGTGATACTGTGTCTCCCCAGGCCAGGGAGAGCTCACTGGTAACCTGCTAGTGTAGTCATGTATTAGGACTGTGTCAGTTAGCATGTCTTGTGCCAGGGGCAGGTAAGTAGAACTATGTGATCCAGCTTGTGCTTGGATTCCAGGCGAGTGGGACTTTGGCAGGAACGTGGGTGTCAGAATCACAGCCAGGTAGCAGGAGGGAGGTGGGTGCCTGGAGCGGAGGCAGACATTTGGGCTGGAGGTGGGATGAAGAGGGCACACAGGGAAGGCGGGGACTTCTGCGTGATGTTGGAGGACAAGTTGGCTCTTGCACGATGTCCGAGGGAGGTGTTTGAGGCTGAGAGGTTAGCCTGACTAGAGTGTGGCCTGTGGGGAGGGATGGCACGCAGGTGGGGCGCGCAGTGTGCAGACTGGCAGGGCAGAGCTGGAGGCTGTCTTGGAGCCTGGCTTGTCAGGCCCTGACTTGACCGGCAACATAGTGAACTGAGTGAGGCCTGGTCAGCTCTGTAACAGAGACCCTGGAGGCCATCGTCATCATCGTCATTGTCTCCAGGGAGGCCCAAGGAGACCTGGGTGTTGTGAGACTTGGGGAGGGAGTGAGGTGGGTGTGATGTTGCCAGCCTAGGACTTGTGAAATGTCACTGGTTTGGTCTTAGCTGCAGTCTTGTTACCTATTTTCTGTACTGCCCGGACTCCTGTGGGCCTGTGACATTCTGGGGAGGTGTGGGGTTCCATGGCCCTGTGGCTCAGGCTCTTGGGAGAAAAGGAGCTGGGCTGGTGGTATGTGTTCTGGGACCAGCTGCCTCTGGGCTTGTCTGTTGCAGACGGGTGGGGTGCTCATCCCTAAGGAGAGCTCTTCCTTTCAGGTGTCTTATGTTCTTCCTGTTTTTTTGTCACTGAAAGTATCACCATCAGTGTTTTTCTGTGAGATCTGCTGGGAGCCACCGTGGGCTTCCAGGGGCTTCTGACAGCATTAGTGTTGCCTGCCTGTGCCCTGTGTGATTGGCTTGTTCTCAGGTACTTTGCCTTCCCTGGCTTCAGGCCCTGTCTGCCTCAGTGGAGCAGTTGGGGCTGAGGCTGGGCCTCCTGCTGGGGAAGGTCTATGCTTTGCCTCCTAGGTGGAGGTTTTTGGGCCCCGCTCAGAACCTGAGTTCCCTTGTATTTTCTTGTCCATGTCCTCTGTCCCTTCTCCAGTGAACATTGCCATTTGGTTGTATCTGGGGCACTTTTTGTTACTTTGGGTTTTGCTCCACAGGTGCTCCATGGGGCTCCAAGACATGTAGGTTGCCCTGGGCTCGACCTTCCGCCATGTCCAAATTGACCAAGAGCGGCTAACCCATGGCTGGCTGGCCCCATGTCATTTCTCCGCCCGAGGAGGAGCATGTTGTGTGTGTAGGGGTCTTTCTGTGTTGTCATGTGCCCAGGGTGCCTGAGCCTGAAGGAGAAGGGCTGTCTGGTGGGAGCAGCCTTGGAGCAAGGACCCCATCATCTGTCCTAGAGTCTGTGTTTACCTGCACAGGTGTGTGGGGTAGTTGAATGAAAGAAGAAGGAATGAAGCCAGGTGTGGGGCTGGTGGACTGGCCACTGCAGGAGAGGGAGGACACAGGGTTGGAGCTTGGCTCAGGGCACAGCCCCAGGACACCTGGCCCTGGGTGGGCAGGGCCAGGCAGTGTCTACAGGAACATGGGCCCTGAGTCAGGTGCTCCCGGGGACAGCTTTGCCTCCCTGTTCTAGGGCCTCTCCACAGCGCCTTTTGCTGCCTCCAGCCAAGGCCTACCCCAGGGCTGCTGCTTTCCTCTGTCTGCCTGGACTTTGTTTTGTTGTGAAGTTTCCTGTAGAAGAGGCAAACTGCAGACACATAGAAATGTTAAAAAATAGAGGATCCCATTGCAACTGCTCTTAGCATTTGGGTATATTTATTCATTTCTCCCTTGTGTTTCTTAAATAGTTATATAACAGAAGAATAAGATGAACACCACCCAGCTGAAGAAATACGTTCACTTTTTTTTTATCCTCACTTGACTTTTTTTTTTAATCCTCACCAGAGGACATTTTTCCATTTTTTGTTCAGATAGAGTGGGGGGGGGGGGGGGCATCAATGTGAGTGGGACACATTGAGTGTCTGTCTCCTGCATGCATGACCCAACCAGGGCCTGGGACAACCGAGGTACGTGCCCTTAGCAGGAACCGAACCTGTGTCTCTCTGGATCGGAGGCTGACACTCTAACCGCTGAGCCAAACCAGCCAGGGCTCACTCGACATTTTTGCATTTATTTTTTCAGGTAAAGCAGGAGGGAGAGAGGGAGGAAGAGAGATAGAGAAACATCGATGTGAGAGAGACACATCGACTGGTTGCCACCCACACGATCCCAACCAGGGCCGGGGACAAACTACAACCTAGGTACGCGCCCTTAGTGGGAACCGAACCCGGGACTCTCTGGTCCGCAGGCCGATGCTCCAACCGCTGAACCAAACCAGTCAGGGTGAAATAGATTTGCTTTTTAATTTCTGAAATAATCAGTACTTGCCATGAATCTATCTAAACATCACAGAGTATAAACAAACCTGCCCCTCGGCCTCAGCCTCCAGCCTGGATGTCGGTCCCTGAGCTTGAGGTCGATTTGCTGGCTCAGAGGCCAGGCTTTCGTTGTGCAGCCCCCTTATCTAGGGTAATCGCTGTGTCTGGGGCCCCCAGGTCAGCATCTGTGCCTTTTCTTCTTAAGTCTTGGATGGTCAGACTTTTTCAGTCTTTGTGTCACCCAGCCTCAGCAGTTCTTCATATCAGCCACTTATTCATTACTATCATCATTATTATTATTTTTAATATGTTTTATTGATTTTTTTTAGAGTAACAGGAAGGGAAGGAGAGATAGAAACAAAGGTATGAGAGCAAAACATCAATTGGCTGCCTCCTGCACGCCCCCTATTGGGGATCGAGCCCATAACCCGGACATGCGCCCTAACCAGGAGTTGAACTGGAACCTCTCAGTCTATGGGACAGTGCTTAATTCACTGAGCCTCACCAGCTGGGCATCATTATTATTAATGATAAATTCTATTTCTTCCAGAAACTGGACGGGCGGTCCCTGATCAAGCTGAACTTTGCAAAGAACAGCGAAGGTAAGGGATCTCTTTTACAACCAACTGGCCTGCAGAATGCGGCCGCTGCCTCTCACCAGTCCTCTGCACAACTAGTTCTTCCTTTCTGATCAGGCTGGACACTTGTTTTTTGTTTGTTTTTTTAAATGCTCACCTGAGGATATTCTTCCATGGAATTTTTAAAAAAATTTTTTTATCCTCACCTGAGGGTATTTTTTTCATTTTTTGTTCAGATAGAATGGGAGGGAGAGAGAGAGAGAAACATCAATGTGAGAAAGACACATGAATTGATTGCCTCCCTCATGACGCCAACCTGGGCTGGGGATCAAACCTACAACCCAAGTACCTGCCCTTGACCAGGTCAATAATCTAACTGCTGAGCCAAACTGGCCAGGCCTGGACACTTTAAAAAAAAAATTTTTTTTTTATCCTTACCCGAGGACACTTTTTTTGACATTCATCTTCAGATAGAACAAGAGGGAGAGAGAGAGAGATAAACATCGATGTGAGGGACACACGTGGACTGGCTGCCACCCACACGACCCCAACTGGGACCAGGGACAAACTGCAACCAAAGTACATGCCGTTAGGACCGCGGGCTGACGCTTTTACCGCTGAGCCAAACCTGCCAGGGCCAGGGTACTTTTTAAAGAAAATATGTTTTTATTGATTTTTTTTTTTTTTTATCCTCACCCGAGGACATTTTTCCATTTTTTGTTCAGGTAGAGTGGGAGGGAGAGAGAGGAACAGAGAGAGAGAGAGAAACATCGACGTGAAAGGAACACATCGAGTGGCTGCCACCCGCACAACCAACCAGGGCCGGGGACAAACTGCAACCAAGGTACGTGCCCTTAGCGGAAACCGAACCCGGGTCTCTCAGGACCGCAGGCCGACGCTCTAACTGCTGAGCCAAACCGGCCAGGGCTTTATTGATTTTTTTAGAGGGTGAGGAACGGAGAGAAATGTTAATGTCAGAGAGAAACATCAATTGGCTGCCTCCTACATGCCCCCTCCTGGGGATCAAGCTGCAACCCAGGCATGTGCCTTGACCTGGAATTGAACCGGGACCCCTCAGTCCATGGAATGACGCTCAATCCACTGAGCTACATGGCAGGGCTGAACACTTGCTTTTAATTTCTCAAAGATGTAACAGGCCCTGGCCGGTTTGGTTCTGTGGTTGGAGCGTCGGCCTGTGGACCAGGGAGTCCCGGGTTCGGTTCCTGCTAGGGGCATGTACCATAAAAGAAGATGTAATACAATTTTCCCTTTTTTTTTTCTCCTTTTTTGGTTTGTTTTGTTAATCCTCACTCAAGGTTATTTTTCAATGTATCTTTAAAGAGAGTGGAAGGTAGGGAAGGAGAGAGAGAGAGAAACATCGATGTGAAACACATTGATTGGTTGCCTCCCATACAACCCTTTCTGGGGCTGGGGATTAGTCCTGCAACCCAGGTACATCCCCTTGACCAGAATCAAAACCAAGACCCTTCGGTCCGAGGGCCAGTGCTCTAACCATTGAACCAAACTGGCCAGGGCCAGAATTTTTTCTTAAAGGTCTAGGTAGTTTTTAAAGTTCTGTGTATGTGGGGGAGGGGCGGGGGCAAAACCTTGAGTTTTGGGTATTCTTCCCACAAAGGCAGTGGGGCCATGTGGGCCTCTGTGGGTACAGATGGGCCCTGTGTCTTTGGTCTGTTCATGGCTGGAGGCAGAAGCTGTACAGGCTGAGAGACCCAGGGCAGGTGGCTGGGTAGTGGATGTGGGGGTCTGACAGATTTGCTGCATTTGTGGGGTGGCTCTTGGGCTGGGCTCCTCACCACTGGTCATAAAGCCCCAGCCCAACCAGAGTCCTCCTGCTTTTTATCCCCACATACCCTCTCGGCCAGATGCTGTAGCTGAGGTAACCCCCGAGGGCACTGACTTTGTTCTCAGTTCTTTGTGGGCTTGGCATTGTTCTCTTGGCTCGTGCAGATGTCATGGTCAAGGCTGGTGTTCATGCTAACGGGGTGTGTATATTCTAGGGAAATTCTGAAGCACCTGAAGCTGGGGCCTGTCTGACACTAGACTCTGACCCCAGGGCCTGGCCCATGGTAGATACTGGTTTGTAGTGATGAGTGAACGCCCTCAGCAGAACAGAAGCACAGTGCTTCAAAGACAGTCCCTAGGGTCAGGGAGCTCTGCCCTGGTGGCCAAGTGCCGTGGGTCTCCCTGCTCTGAGATCAGCTGATTTGGGGAGACCCACAGTGTGTCTCATTCAGCAGATATTTACTGAGTGCCTGCCATGTGCAGAGAGCAGAACAGGCCAGATCTCTCCTAGAATGAAAGGAGCTTGCATCATGGTAAAGGAGGAAACGAAAACAGATCACATATGTCAGACGCTGCTTCTGTCAGGGACATAAGTGAAGCAGAGTGAGGAGGGAGAAGGTTGTAGGAAGACTCATGGACAGGGTTTGAATGGAAATCTGGCAGGAAGGAGGGAGGGAGCCACATGGGAATGTGGGGGGAGAGCATTCCAGACAGGGCACAGCCAGTGCAAAGCCCCTGAGGCAAATCTGGGCACAACCAGGAGTCCAGTGTTGTTGGAACAGTGTGAGTGAGGGGTGGAAGCAGACGCTATAGTCAGAGGGGTCAGGGGTGTGGTGGGGGGAACAGGGTGCAGAGCAGTCTTGCAGGGCTCGGGTGGCCACAGGAGGACTCAGATGGGAGCCAGAGAGGAGAAATGAGATCTGTTGTAATTTTTGCCTATTTACAAATTTGACCTAGTAATCACCTTTTTTTTCCCTTTTGTTTTTAATTGAAAATTTTAGACACACGAGAGTGGAGAGAATTAGTATGATGACCCCTGGCCCGTATCCATCACCTAGCTTCAGTTCCCATCCACTCACAGCCTGTCTGATTTGATCTGTGTTCCCACTCGGTACTTGCTTAGGTGATTTTAAAGCAAATTCCAGACATTGTAGCATTTCATGCTTAAATACTTCAGTAAAAGATAAAACTTAAAAAATAGTAATCACAATACTACTCTAATACCTAAAAATTTAATAGGAATTCCTTAATATCATCAACTATCCAATCAGTGGTCAAATTTCCAGAATGCTCTTATTTATTTATTTATTTTTATCATCACCCAAGGACATTTTTTGCATTTATCTTCAGACAGAGTGGGAGGGAGAGGGGGGAAGAGAGAGAGAGACACATCGACTGGCCGTCACCCACACAACCCCAACCAGGGCCGGGAACAAAATGCAACCAAGGTATGTGCCCTTAGCGGGAACCGAACTTGGGACTCTCTGGTCTGCAGGCCGACGCTCTAACTGCTGATCCAAACTGGCCAGGGCTATTTTTTTATTTTTTTAAGTTTTATTATTATTTTTAAATTTTTCTTAAAAAAATACACACACACACACTTTTATTGATTTTTAGAGAGAAAGGAAGCGAGAAGGAGAAAGATAGAAACGTTGATGTGAGAGAGAACCATCGATGGGCTCCTCCTGCACGCCCCCCACTGGGGATCAAGCCCGAAACCCTGGCATGTGCCCTGACTGGAATCAAACCGGGACCACTTAGTCCATGGGACAATGCTCAATCCACTGAGCCACACCAGCTGGGCTATTATTATTTTTTAATATTTTTTCTTTATTAATTTTAGAGAGAGAGGAAGGGAGAGGGAAAGAGATAGAAACATCTATTGGCTGCCCCCTGCATGCCCCCCACTGGGAATTGGGCCCATGACGTGGGTATGTGCCCTGACTGAGAATTGAACTGGCAACCTCAAAAGTCCACACAAATAGGTGGTTGATCTCTCTAAGTCTCTTAATTTATAAGTGCTCCTCCTGCCTTTTTGCAGTTTATTTGTTGGGACTTATTTGAACAGGCTCCTGGCTACCTGTAGAGAGTTGGTGGGCCAGAGGCAGAAGCAGCAGGAGTTTGTTGCAATATCCCAGGTGACAGGGTGAGGGATGTGGCAGGGTCTGAAGTAGAGGAGGAGGCCAGGGCAATGTTGCCCGTAGTGAGCTGGGGCTGATGAAGCAGACACCTCTGAGGAAGGCCACGTCGGGGGTTGGAGGAGGGTCTTAAGAAGCTGGTTGTCCCTCTGGGCCCCACTCTGGGTATACTGATGCAGGGTTCTGCCTTCTCCCTAGAGAAGTACCACTGCCCAGTGCTGTACACCGTGTTCACCAACAACACCCACATCGTAGCCATCAGGACCACGGGCAATGTCTATGCCTATGAGGTAGGCTCTGGGAACTGTATCACATACAGGCTCTTTAGGTGTGTGCTCCTGGGAACCCTGGTCTGGGCTCTGGGATCGCACAGCATGTCCTGGTGGAGCAGACAGCCATCAGCACAGTCTAGGAAAGGTGGGGCCTTCCTGTGGCCTCTGGACCTGGAGCCTGGGTTGTCCTTTTGTACCCAGGGGTCCTCCCCACAGTTGTCTTCAGTGAAGACTTACTGGTCAGGCTCTGGGAGGGAACCTGTGCTCTGAGGGAAGGTTCTAGGGCTTAAGGGGAGTCTTGAGCCCCCCAATTCCTAGCGAAGTCCCCAAGAGGAGCAGATGTGAGCTGGTGGGCAGGTAGGGGCGAGAGGAGGCCCTGGTTTCCATACCAGTCCTCCTTCTGCGGGTGTGTTGGCAGAGGGTACAGACAGCAGAGCATGGGCCCCATGTTGCAGGGAAGCCCTCTGAGCTATTTCCATGCCTGTCCCTGGCCATTGGCAGGGTCCAGGTGGACGACACTGCTCTAGGAGCTCTAGGGGTGACACCTTGCCTGTGTGTGCATGGATTTGGGGGGCTTGGTACAGATGGGTGGCCTCATTGAACCTGTTTGCTGATGTGTAAGACGTGTGTCATGAGAGTGTCCTGTGAGGGACCTTGCTCAGAGGGCTGACCAAGTTTCTGGGGTTCAGCAAGCTTCCCCCTCAGTGGCAGGGCCATTGCTGTGAGCCCGTGGTGGCTACATGATAGTGCCTCGTGCTGGAATGGTGCTGTCTTCAGGGCGGGCGGTGGACTCCAGTGCCGGCTTGGGCACAGGCACCGTAACCGCTGCTTCCTCCTGGCTGCAGGCGGTGGAGCAGCTAAACATCAAGGCCAAGAACTTCCGAGACCTACTGACCGATGAGCCCTTCTCCCGGCAAGACATCATCACCCTCCAGGTGGGTGTCCCTTCCCCCTGTTGTTCTTAGGAGGGACCACTTGAGAACCTTGGTGCGGCTCCCCTCTGCCAGGTTCGGTGGCTTCCTCCTTGCCACCTGTCTGGTTGCGATTCCCCAGCGGCTTCGGGCTGTTTTCCCACCTCGTGCTCTCCTGACACGCAGCCACATGGCCCTTTGCACGTGGCCTCCTCAGCCTGGCTCCCACATCTCCCTCTTCGATGCCTGTCCCTGCTGGGTCAGAGCTCCTCATCTCTGCCCTCAGAGCCATCTCGGCATCGAGTGGCCTCTTTGCAGGCCCCACTTGAGAGTGGGGGTGGGTGTGTGCTCTGTACCTCGGCGTTGGGCACAGGGTGCCCCTGTGGTGTCAGAGAACCCTGGGTGAGTTCGTGAAAAACATGGACGTAGAAAATCCAGGAGTGACTTAGATGGGACAAACCCTTCTGTGACTGTCCCATTCTAGTTGGAGGTTAGTGTACATTCCCTCCAAGGTGTGGGCTCACTGTCCCCAGCGTCCGAGCACTGTGGGGTCTGTGTCCGGCAGCCCAGCTGAAGGGAATATGGGGTGGCACGTGGGAGGCCTGGTGGCGGGCATGCCGTATCTGCCCATGTTCCGTCTGCCCTGTGGCTGCCTAACAGCAAGGGACACTTGTCAGCTGTATGCCAGGGAGATGCAAATGCAGTTTGGTGAGCATTTGTGCCAGTCTCCACCTCACCCCTGCTCATGGCCCTGCCAGCACCTGTTTCCTGCTTGATCCCCAGGCCTCTGTGTAGCCGCAGACGTCTCCCCGCCCGGCCCCAGGACCCTCATGCCACCCACCTATCCTTTGCTGCCTGGGGCTGCCACATGGTCACAGCCCGAGACCTGGCTGGGCTCACTCTGATGCAAGTCTTTTTTCTGCTGCAGGACCCTACGAATTTGGACAAATTCAACGTCTCCAACTTCTTTCACGTTAAGAATAACATGAAAATAACAGACCCAGGTATGAATAGCCAGGGGTGGTCTAGGTGCCAGGGATTGGGGGGAAATAGGTCAGTGCTCCCTGGCCAGAGCTCCCGCGCTCCTGGGGCCAGAGCCTCGGTCACACTTAGGCAGGTCTGGAATTTACTGAGCTGACGTTCAGCTTCTCTTGTGCTGAGCTAGGCAGGACCACGCTGGCCCACACCTGCCCACGGGGGGCCTGATGCCATGGTTGCCAGCCAGGCCATTATACCTCAGTGCCCACAGCCTCATGTGAGAGAGGCCTGTACACCTGGTCCTCCCCACTCAAGACTCAGTTCCAGCGGCCCTCAGGCTGCTTCCTCGCCTAGGCCCTTGGGTGCCTGGATGGGGTCCTGTCTAAATTGTGTCTGTTCTCACTGCAGGGCAGGTGGTTAGGCAGGTAGGTGGGTCCTGTGATGGTGGTGAGTATGGGAGCTGCTCAGCTAGCCGGTCACCACCACTGGGGTTCGGGGCTGTTTCTGAACACTTTTGGGGCCAAAGCTGGGCCAGGTACAGAGACCAAAGCCGACTCCAGCAGAAGCCTTGGTGGGTAGACGGCAGCCCTTCGGGGCTCTTGCCTCACTCTCTCCCTACACACACCTCTGGGTTTGCAGGACTAGGAAGGTGTCACTGATGGAGGCTTGGCCTGTGTCCTGGTCTGGGACTTCTGCTGGTGTAGCCAGCTCTGGCCTTTGGCCCCTGCCACGGACATCTGGGGACGTTCCTGGGGGCTCAGCTGCTCAGAACTACCATGCTGTTTTCTAGATGAAGAAAAGGCCAAACAGGACCCATCTTACTATTTGAAAAATACAAACGCCGAGACCCGAGAGACACTGCAGGAGCTCTACAAGGAGTTCAAAGGGGATGAGGTCCTGGCGGCCACCATGAAAGCCCCAGAAAAGAAGAAGGTTGACAAGCTGAATGCTGTGAGTAGGTGGAGGGGCACGCAGCTGTCAGCTCAGGCTGCCCTCCCTTCATAGCCCCTAGGAGTGATTCTGGGATACATTTGGTGGGTGAACAGCTGGGACCCCATCCAGGTGCCCCTGGGAGCCCAGAGGACAGCTGCACTGAGGAGGCTAGGGTTACAGATGGGTACGCTGGGGATTATGCAGGGAAGGTGGCTCCAACCAGGGTGGCCCAAGCTGGGGAGCCTGGAACAGATATGCTGGGTGGGTAGCTGCCCAGTGGCTTTGGTGGTACCACCTGACACAGTAGCCCAGGCATGCAGGTCTGTGGGAGGGGATGTCGTGTGGCATGGAGTCACTGCCCTACAGAGCTGTTCACTTGGTGCCCAGAGCAGACCCAGTGAGAGATGGTGGAGCATTTCAGGGGTGCCGTGGAGCTGAGGGGAGGGAACAAGTGGTGCTGGGCGCTGCTTGGTGCTGGCCCTCCTGGGCAGTCAGGTTGCTTCTTACAATACCCAATAGTTGGCCCTGAGGCCCTCAGTTGGCAGTGCTGGCACCTGGATTTGTGTCTTGATCTGTCAGGCCCCAAACCTGCCCCTCCCCCTTTCCTCTCTTCAGCCTGGCGAGCTGGGGATGTGGGGATAGGGAGGTAGGGCTCTGAGGCTCCCTCCTTAGAGAAGTATTCAGGGAAATTCGAAAAAGAAAAAATGTTTGTTGTTCATAAGTCCACCACTCTTTTATTTTTTTCTTTATTGATTTTAGAGAGAGGAAGGGAGAGGGAGAGAGAGATAGAAACATTGATGAGAGAGAACATTAATTGGCCACCTCCTGCATGCCCCCCCACTGGGGATTTGGCCCACAACCTGGGCATGTGCCCTGACCGGGAATCGAACTGGCGACCTCTTAGTGCATGAGTGGACACTCAACCGGCCAGGCAAGCCCACCACTCTTAACACAATATCTCTTAGCATTATGGTATACTTCCTTTTGATGGGGATAAATACCTCCTTTTATTTTTTTCCTTCTGCCTAGGATAAAAAAACACTTTTTGGGACTTTTTAATCAGTTTTCCTGATTAAAAACATAATGTATTTATTGTAGAAACTAAAAACTATTTTTTAAATATTTATTTACTTTTTTAGAGAGGAAGGGAGAGAGAGATAGAAACATCAATGTGAGAGAGAAATATTGATTGACTGCTTCCTGCACACCCCCTACTGGGGATTGAGCCTGCAACCCAGGCATGTGCCCTGACTGGGAATCGAACTGGGACCTTTCTGTCTATGGGATGATGCTTGGTCCACTGAGCCTCACCAGCCGGGTGAAACTGAAAACCTTTAAAAGAAAACTGGAGTCCCTTATTCCTTGGGGCTTTAGGGAAAGGCCAATTTGGACAGGGCCGTCCTGTCCCCCAGGAGGTACCTGGTGGTATCTTTGGGTGGTAGGGACACTTTCCTAGAGGAGAGGTGCTGAGCAGGGTCTTAAGCCCTGGGGACTGTTGGCTTCCATGTCCCCAGCCACCAGCCTCCCAGGGTGCTGCTGATGGGCCTATGTGGTTTTCTCGGCAGGCCCACTACTCCACTGGGAAGGTTAGCGCCTCCTTCACCTCCACCGCCATGGTTCCAGAGACCACACACGAAGCAGGTAGCTGCCTTCGCTTCTCCTTCAGCAATGGTGCTGATTGATAGCAGCTGAGGCGGGTGCCCTGCCTCCCTGTCCCCAACAACACTCCATTGTGTCTGGGGTTTGTGGGCTTAGGCAGCTCAGGAATGGTCAGGGGCCGTGCCCTTTTGAAGGTATGTTTGCCTATGGGGAGGCTGTAGTGAGGGCCAGGCGAGGGGGGCAGGAGGCTCTCCCTGTGGCCTGCCTGCTGGGGCCCCCCACCTTGGCCTCTTCCCAGGCTGCCCATGGGCACCTTAGCCCTCCACCAAGGCTGCCATTGTCATTGTCCCCAAGCCTCTTCCTCTTGTGTATTTGGCAGGTCAGCTCCCCAGCCCTCCCTTCTCACTCCCCTCCCACCCTGAGTCCGGGCTTTTCCAGCACCTCTGTCCTAACTGCTGCGCCCGCCTTGCCCTCTCCTCCTGGGCTCAGCAAGGGTGGGCCCCTGGGCTTTCTCCAGAGCTGGGGCTGAGGTCCAGGCCTCCGGGCCTGGTATGGGTGGTCTTCAGGTTGAGGGAAGGCACAGAGCTTGGGCCTCTGCTTGCAGCCGCCATTGAAGAGGACGTGCTGCGCTACCAGTTTGTGAAGAAGAAGGGCTACGTGCGGCTGCACACCAACAGGGGCGACCTCAACCTGGAGCTGCACTGCGACATGGTGGGTGTGGCCGCCGTCCGCCCCAGGCCCAGGGTCTTAACCGCGAAGCTGCACTTAGGATGTGCGTGTAGTAGAAAATTCTGTCCCCTGGAAGGGGTGGTGCCCCTACTTCCCTCCCCAGAAGGGACTCTCAGCCATGTGGTGCATCTCTTGGCCGAGTCTGGGCAGCGAGTGCACTCCGGCACACGCGCTGCTGCCGTCTCTCTGCGGCCCTTGCTCTTGGGCTCGGTGGCTGCAAGTGTCTTGTTAGCGTCACGAGTCCTTCCGTGCTCAGGTGGAGCAGCTGACCCTCCTCCACTGCAGGGTCAGGGTTTGGGTGGCATTTGTACCCTTCGTGGCTGCTTCACACCTCACAGAAGTATCTGGGCTATTTTGCAGACCCCCAAAACCTGCGAAAACTTTATCAAGCTCTGCAAGAAGCAGTATTACGACGGCACCATCTTCCACAGGTCCATCAGGAACTTCGTGGTGAGTGATATGGGTCGGTGCTGGCCTCACAGGGCTAGGTGAATCCTGAGGTGACTTCTGTCGTACATGGGAGCCCCTGCTCCTCAGGGTCAGGGAACCTGCAGGCTCAACCCGTCACCCCTCCTGGCCACAGTGGGCTTGTGCAGAGACTCACCAAGAGCTCGGACCCCTTTGAGCCCAGCTGGCAGGTGGGGAATTGCCTCGGGCCGTGAGCCGTGGGCGGCTGTGGAAGAGCTGCGGGGTCAAGGGCATGGCTCTTACTGGCTTTTGTTGTTCTTGCAGATCCAGGGGGGTGATCCCACTGGCACAGGCACAGGTGGGTACTGGTGCTGGTGCTCCCTCGGCAGCTTTGGCTGCCCCATCGGCCATGAGGGGTATGTGGGTGGCGCCCTGCTGAGAGTTCCAGATGTGGAGTTAGGTGACCTTGGGCACCTCCCTGTGTTCTCATTTGGAGATGGTCATCAGGCCTGATAGATAGAAGTGGGAGCATGTTGCCTCCTCCGCAGGCCTCCAGAGCACCCACCGTTGTCAGTGGACCAAGGGATGCTTCTGGAGCCCACAGCAGAGGGAGGCTGTGCCCTGTCCTGGATGTCTGGCTGCCCTCCCACTGCCTCTCACAGCTCCCCTCAGCTTGTCAGCTGCTTGGGCCCAGGCCTACTCCCAATAGTGACGTGCGGTCTTCACTTTCTACTTCGTTCTCAGGGCCAGGCCCCACGTAGGGCTTCATGGGGCCTGGAGGCTGGTGATGAGGGGCCCTCAGGGCCAGGGCTGCCCTCCAACGTGCCTCTGTCCCAGACATAGCCCGAGCAGTGCCCAGTGTCCCTTGAGACAGCATAGCTTCCTGGAGCAGGGCTGCATCCTGCTGGCTGTACTCAGCCATAACCCAGTTCTTGCTGCCACCCGTGTCCTCTCTCTTCCAGGTGGGGAGTCGTACTGGGGAAAACCCTTCAAAGATGAGTTCCGGCCCAACCTCTCACACACGGGCCGGGGCATCCTCAGCATGGCCAACTCGGGACCTAACACCAACAAGTCTCAGTTGTGAGTTTCTGGATGGCTAGGGGATGGGCCTGGGGCTCCCTGTAGGTTCCCCCTCAGCCTTACCATGAGGGTAGGTGTACGGCAGCACCCCCTGGGGAGACGGTAGACTCACTGACAACACAGACCAGACCTGCCCGAGTACGTGCGTGTGTACCTACGTGCAGAATAAGTCAGCAGGCAGCACTGTGCCTTGGGGCCAGTGCCTGTGAAGGAACAGATGCCAGGAGTTCCCAGGAGATCCAGGAGGGCCTCCTGGAGAAGGCACCACAGGAAGCAGATGGGGGGGCTCGGGTGCCAGCAAAGGAGTGGCAGGGAGCGATAGTGGTGCAGGGGGCCAGAATCAGGTCTGGCCTGAGCAGCCGCCAGTCGTGGTGTATTTATAACAATGGGGGCACTTGGCGAGGGGACAAGAGTTCTGCTTTGAACGTTTATGTGTCAGATGCCTGGGGCACCCACCTTGTTCCAAGTGGGTCTAAGTTTTGGTGCTGAGAAGATGCGGATGGGCTAGAAGTACAGGCCTGGGTGTCCCCATGTCCAGATGTGAAGGTGAGGGGGTTGGGGAGCCACCAGCGGCAAGTGTGGGGAGAGGAGCAGCTGGACCAGCCTGGCACAGATGGAAGGGTCTGCGAGGCCGAGGGAGGAGAGGTGCTCCTCAGGTGTTCCACGGGAGCTCCTGGCTCCGTTCTTCTCTTCCTCCTCTGCAGTCCTGTTACCTTTCTGTCTAAATCAGGACCTCATTCTGGACTCTGTTCCGTTCCCTGCCTGTCATCCTGCACCAGTGTTACACTAACCTGATTCCGAAGGCGCCACAGGCTGTGGACTGAGGCAGGGCAGGGGAGGGAGACTGGTTTGGGAATGAGGAGGCTGGTGATGCCGTGGTTTGGGTGGTGGCTTTCTTGGATGTTTGATAGGATTCACCTACAGAACCATCTGGCTTTTGGGGAGGAATTTGGGAGCAGTTTCCATCTAGTTGGGGGTTTGTTTCTCTCTCAGTTGGCCCTAGTCATCCTTCTCTAGGAGCTTTATGATTTTATCTAAGTGCCATTATTTATGCTTTATAAAAATCCTTAATTCTTACTTGTACTTTCTTGAATTATAATATTTACCCACTTTTTATTAGGTGGTTTGTATTTTTCTTGCTAAGAACTTTTTAGATTAGGTAAGTCATCTATACTCCAAATATTTTTTTCCAGATACTTTTGATTGGAACACTACCATGTGATATTTTGAAATATTGTGTATTCCAGTGTGTCTGTAGTTCTCAGTGGTACTTAAGGGAGTCTCCCTACTTTGATTGTAAGTGGGGTCTTCTCGAAATTTTGGAAGGCTTTCATTGTTTGGGAGGCAGGAAGGTTTTATTTATTTAAAATCCTCACCTGAGGATATATTTTTCCATTTATTTTCAGATAGAGTGGGGCAGGGGGAGAGAGAGATGCATCGATGTGAGAGAGACACATCAACTGATTGCCTCCTGCAAAACCCCAACCAGGGCCAGGGATCAAACCGCAACTGAGGTACATGCCCTTGACTGGAGTGAACCCGCAACTCTTTTGTGTTGTTGTTCAGATAGATTGGGAGGGAGAGAGAGGGAGAGAGAGAGAGAGAGAAACATTGACGTGAAAGGGACACATTGAGTGGCTGCCACGTGCATGACCAAACCAGGGCTGGGGACAAACTGCAACCTAGCGGGAACCGAACCCGGGTCTCTCGGGACCGCAGGCTGACGCTCTAACTGCTGAGCAAAACCGGCCAGGGCTGAACCCACAACTCTTTGGTCTGCAGACCGACGCTCTAACTGCTGAGCCAGACCGGCCAGGGCAGAAGGTTTTATTTTTATATTCTATATTTACATGTTATTTTCATATATGAACGTGAACGAGCATTTTTCTTTTCTCCCAGTCTTGCTAGCATCATGCACAGAGGAGCCCTTCCCATTTCCAGCTGCGCTGAGGCTTTGCCGTTGACCAGTGCAGAGTGAGATTGCCCGTCCGAGCTGTCCCCCTTGTCAAGTGTGACTGGTCAGCCCCAGGCCTCACAGGGCAAGGGTGGTGCGACAGCTTGGGGCTCCGGACCTGTCCCCTGGGGAGCCCCCAGTCTCATTCTTGACTGTTCTGTTCACTGTCATTCCTGCACCAATATTGCACTTACTTGATCATGTTGACTCTCTATCAAGTTATATAGGCAGGTCCACTCTATTCTCACATTATCTTTTGGCTTTATTTAGTTGTGTATTCTCTAATATGAACTTTAAGATCCTTTTACCTAGAGCAGCAGTTCTCAACCTGTGGGTCACGACCCCTTTGGGGGTCGAACGACCTTTTCACAGGGGTCGCCTAAGACATAACAGTAGCAAAATCACAATTATGAAGTAGCGATGAAAATAACTTTATGATTGGGGGTCACCACAACATGAGGAACTGTATGAAAGGGTTGTGGCATTAGGAAGGTTGAAAACCGCTGATCTAGAGCTTTGAGAATTCTGTTGAGTCTGGAATGACACGGGATCTGTATTTTGGAAGAAAAGGTGTGTGTATGACATCTTCCGTCCGAGTTTGGCTTGACTTTCCCTGGGGATGTTTTCTGTGTTCTAATGTGATTTTATAGTTTTCATCACACGGGTCCCTTGCTTTCCCATATAAATTTGTTCTTCAAGGATTTTATAATTTTTTTTATCCTCACCCGAGGACATTTTTCCATATTTTGTTCAGATAGAGTGGGAGGGAGAGAGAGAGAGAAACATCGACATGAACGGGACACATCGAGTGGTTGCCACCCGCACGACCCAACCAGGGCCGGGGACAAACTGCACCTGAGGTACGTGTCCCTAGTGGGAACCGAACATGGCTCTCTCTGGACCACAGGCTGACGCTCTAACCACTGAGCCAAACTGGCCAAGGCTAATTTTTGGTATTTTAAAGTGGAACTTTTTCCCAGTTTTATTGCTTATGTAGATAAAATCTATTTATTTTATATCCAGCCACTTTATCAAATTCTCCTATAATTCAGATCACATTTATCAGCACAAGGTGGTGTCCTCTCTGCTTTCCTGGTATGAACACAGTCACCTCACTGTGAGGACAGAGGGAGAGGATGTGGGCATCAGCTACCTGACGTGCTACTTTGCCATCTGCTCAAACTTGTTCTGGGGCCTTCCTTTTTAGGAGAGGCTGTGGAATTTCCAGATGTTTTTCTCTTAGCATCTGTTACTATGGTATATGATTTTTCCTCCTGACACTTGTGGATGTAACCACTGGGTTGGCCAGCCCTTCTGTGACTGTCCTGGAGTCAGCCTGGCTGGGCCTTACTGTGCTGTGGTGTTCCACGGGCTGCTATCCCAGTTGAGTGCTACTGCCTTCATACGGGTGCCGGGTCGGGTCGGGTCCGAGTGTGGGGGTGCAGCCTGAGTACAGTGAGCCTGCTGTGGCTTTATGGTCCAGGGTGGTTGAACTTCCACTAGAGTTGGCTTGTTAGTCAGCTGGGCGAGGCCAGCCTGCGGATCCTTCATGCTAATTCCTGTTGGGCTGCACTTCACGGGCCAACTGGGTAGTTTCTGTTTTGCCGGAATTGAACTCATCCATCTCTAGAGTCCCACGATCGTTTCCCTGGCGTCTCCTCAGTGCCTGCTGCTCCTTTCTCATTCCTGATCATACCTGTATTTCTTTCTTCCTTAATGGTGTGTGAAGGGCTTGTCTGTTTTACTTTCTGGGTGATTATGGTCAGTTTCCATCTTTAACTTCTTCCTGGTTTCTTTGCTCTTTGTCTTATTTTCATGTATTACTCGCGACCACTAAGGACGTTCAAGTCTGTACACGTGAAGCACGTGCCTTTCCTTGTTCTGTTTGTTTTCCCTTTCATCACTTTTCTATTTATTTCTTTTTTCTATGGGACTATTTTATTCTCTTTTAAGCTTCCCCGTGTTAGAAATTAGCAAGAGAGAGACCCGTTGTGTGGCCAGTCAGCTCTGCACAGCCGCAGGTTTAAATGGCTATGAACTGGTCTGCTGGCCTCGTCTGGTCGGACCTGACAGGCTCGGAAGGAGAGCCATCCTGGTTGAATGTGGTGATGCATACTGCTAAAGCTAGGGGCTGAAACCCCTGGTCCTCACTGGCCATGTGGGTCTGGACTGTCAGGATGTGGGTGGCAGCACACTGTCACAGCAGGGCTGCCCGCCTGCACCCCTGCTCTGGGGTGTGGCTTCGTGCGCTGCAGCCGACCTTGGATGCTTTCTACCCTCATGTCTTGCCTGATATCTTTTTTTTTTTTGGTTAAATTTTTTTTTTCCTTGATTGATTTTAGAGAGAGAGGAAGTGAGAGGGAGAGAGAGATAGAAACATTGATGAGAGAGAACATTGATTGGCCGTCTCCTGCATGCCCCCCATTGGGGATTGGGCCCACAACCTGGGCATGTGCCTTGACTGGGAATCGAACTGGCGACCTCTTGGTGCGTGGGTTGACACTCAACCACTGAGCCACACTGGCCGGACAACCTGATATTTTCTTGCATCCTTTTAACTTTTAGGCTTTCAGATTGTTGAAGTTTTAGGGCTTTTGTTTTGTTAATCTTCACCCTAGGATATTTTTTCCATTGTTTTTTTTTTTTTTAAAGAGAGAGTAAGGCAAAAGGGAAGGGGTGAGAGAGAGAGAGAGAGAGAAACATCGATGTGAGAGACACATCAATTGGTTGCTTCCCACAGGACCCCAACTGGAGTCAGGGATTAAACCTGCAGCCCAGGTATGTGCCCTTAACCAAGAATTGAACCCAAGACCCTTCTGTCCATGGGCCAGTGCTGTAACCACTAAGCCAAACCAGCAAGGCACAACCTGAGAATAAGTGTATACTTAACTTTCTAGTTATACTATTATCTTAATTTGTGTTTTCTGATTATCTTTTTTAAATATTTTTCTCTCCTCCTATCCTCTTTCTCCTGGTTTGGAAGTGAGATGTTTTATATCTGGCCTTAAATCAAGTACATCTATTTAAAGTCTAAAGTTACTAGTTAATATCTCTACCTCTCTCCCAGACAAGATCCTTCCAGTTACCCCCACCATCCACATTAGTGTAATTGAAGATTTTAATTTCACCCATTAAAAAAAGTTTTTTAATCCATTCATTGATTTAAAGGGGGGGGGGACATCGATTTGTTATTCCACTTATCTATACATTCATTAGTTGATTTTTTTTTTATCCTCACCCGAGGACATTTTTTGTTCAGATAGAGCAGGAGGGAGAGAGAGGTAAGAGAGAGAGAGAGAAACATTGACGTGAAAGGTACACATCGAGTGGCTGCCACCCACATGACCCAACCAGGGCTGGGGACAAACTGCAACCGAGGTGTGCACCCTTATCAGGAACCAAAGCCGGCTCTCTCTGGACCACAGGCCAACACTCTAACTGCTGAGCCAAATTGGCCAGGGCCATTGGTTGATTCTTATATGTGCCCTGACTGGGGATCGAACCTGCAACCCTGGTGTATTGGGCTGAAGCTCTAACCAACTGAGCTACCTGAGCAAGGCCTAATTCCACCCATTTTTATGCCAAATCAGAAGTGAAACTGTTCTAGGTCAGTGTTGCTGTGCGTGTACCCACGTCTGTTTTTGCTCCCTTGCCTGCTTGTTGCCTCCTCCCTGCTGGTTCAGAGCCCTTGGTCCTTTAATCAGTCTCTGAGTGGACAGGCTCTGGTCTTCTACTTGTGCCCTCTAGAGCAGTCTCTCCCTGCAGGCTCTGGGCAGTGTCTGCCTGATGGGAGGTTGGCAGCAGCCGGGCCTGAGCCTTCCCTGTCCCTACCTGGTGGCTTTGCACTGGGCGGCCCCTGGCCCCCTGGGTGGCCTCATGGTTGACAGCTTGCCCTGGACAGGCAGGGTTTGGGGGCAGTGCACACAAGTGAGCAGCTTCCCAGAGCAGACTCAGGACAGGGGTATAGGGGTGTGGGTGTGTGGCCTGGTTTGTGCCCAGCGGCCTTGGGGGTCAGTGCAGACCAAGCGGGGAAGCTCTCATGCTCTTCCTGACCCCCCTGTCCTTCTCCCCAGCTTTATCACCTTTCGCTCCTGTGCTTACCTCGACAAGAAGCACACCATCTTCGGGCGGTAAGAGAAGTTGCTGCGTGAGGTCTGGAGTGTTGGTGAGGGTGGGCTCCTTTCCCAGCTGGGGCCTCTCCCTGCCCTTTCCCTGGTCTTGGCCCCACACTCCTTTGCCCTCTTAACTGTCCCTGCTAAGATCATGGCCATGCAGGAGTGGGGACTTGGGGCTTCTATGTTGGGCAGGGGACCTTGGCTAAGGAGGAGGCCCTGTCTGGTAGCTGTCCTGCCCACAGTCAGCCCCTTGGGTTCTCCTTTGGATGATCCTGAATCACACGTCTGGGCCACCTCCTGTCTTTCTGCCCATCCCGGCATCCAGAGGTCAGCAGACTTTTCCTTTGAAGGCCCAGGTGGTATTTCCAGCCTCATGGCCTTTTGGTCTCTGCCACACTCAGCTTTGTGGTTGTAGCACAAACCGGCTACAGACAGCATGGAAGAAGTGGGTGCTGTGTCTTTTTTTTAATCCTCATCCAAGGACATTTTTGCATGTATCTTCAGATAGAGCGGGAGGGAGAGAGAGAGAGAGAGAAACATCGATGCGAGAGAGACACATCGACTGGCTGCCACCCACACGACCCCAACCAGGGCCGGGGACAAACTGCAACTGAGGTACATGCCCTTAGCAGGAACTGAACTCGGTCTTTCTGGTCCATGGGCCGATGCTCTAACTGCTGAGCCAAACTGGCCAGGGCGGTGCTGTGTCCTAATGAAACCTGCCCGGTGGCTGCTGGTATTGCCTCTCGGGCCCCTCCTCTTCTGGACCGCAGTCCTGTCCTGGCCCTGTGGGCCTTTCTGAACCCAGTCTGTCTGCACCCTTGCTATGAGGCCTACAGCCTGGGCCTCTTCTCAGCCCCTCTTCCTGGCACACTGTGGGAACTTGGCCTTTGGGGGCACTCTGAGCAGGGCATACTCAGAGCCCCCCACCCCCCATTACAGGGTTGTTGGGGGCTTTGACACACTGACAGCCATGGAGAATGTGGAGAGCGACCCCAAAACTGACCGCCCTAAGGTATGTGCCCTGGGAGAAGAAGGGGCCACTCCTCAGACTCAGCAGGCGGGCAAGGGGCCCACTGTCTCCTGCCGGCCCTGTTCACTGGCCTCCCCTCTGCTGCAGGAGGAGATCCGCATTGACTCTACCACGGTGTTTGTGGACCCCTACGAGGAGGCCGATGTTCAGGTGCGGAGGGTGTGGCCACCACGTAGGGAGGGGGCTTAGAGGAGGCATATCCAGCCTAAGGGGCTTGGGGCCAGCCGTGTCCCTGCTCCACCACAGATTGCTGAGGAGCGGAAGAAGACACAGCTCGAGGAGGCAGCTCCAGAGAACACAGTGAAGAAGAGCCAGCCCAAGCCCGGGAGCCAGGGCCCCCCAACCTACCGCCAGGGGGTGGGCAAGTACATCAACCCGGCAGCCACGTGAGTGGGGTGGGAGTCTGTTTCCATGGTGCATGCTTACCGATCCCATAGCAGGCACCGGGATCGAGCAGTGAGGCATGCCGGGAGGCCTCGTGCAGGCTGGAGAGCTCAGAATTGGGGTGGGGGTGATGTGGAGACATGTGGCCCCCATGGCAGCTGGAACCTGGCTCTTCTCTTCCTAGGAAACGTGTAGCAGATGAGGAACCATCAACCAGTGCAGCTGTCCCCGTGGCCAAGAAAAAGCCCAGTGGAGGTTTCAGGGACTTCAGCTCATGGTAGCAGCAGGCCTGCTGCCCTGGACCCTGGTAGGGACACAGTGCTGGGGCTTGTGTCCATCAGGCCCCTGAAGGTTCTGCCCTCAGTAAGCCTGCCCTTTGGCTTCGACTCAGCAAAGCCCTTGTCTGTTCCTGGGTTCCCTTTCCTGCCCTCGGGAACCCATGGGCCCCTCATCCCTCACCCAGTGCAGGAGTCCTGGCCCTGTTTCCAGGCCTGGGCCCAGCCAGAGCCCATGTCTTGGGCCACCAGGCACCAGATCTAGTAAGTCTGAGAAGGGCTTTTGTCCCATAATCTTAGTTTTCTTACCATTACCACCCACCTCCATCACCATCTCTGGGACTCGACTCTCTGTGGTCCCACACCAGCAGCATCACCTGGAACCTTGTTACATTCTGCCCCGGTAGCTGGGGGTGGGCTCTGAGCTCTGTATTTTGACAAACTTCAGGGGCTCCTGATGCTGGTGGTTTAAGGACCTCGATGTTATTTCCGAAAAATATTTCTGCCTCTTCTAGCTTGGGTTTGCCGAGTCCAGCCCAGCTAGGACCATGAGCCTGGGCCTGGGCCCTTCCCCAGGACTGCCCACCTGTCTGCCTCAGGATGGTGACGAGGCCACACACAGCTGAAGACAGCTGGCCCCTGCTGCTCCTGACAGACCGCAGGCCTGGGGAGCTGGCGTGCCCCTCGCCCCCCTCCTTTCCCCCCTCAGGGCCCATCCTTGTGTCAAACACAGCCCTTGGGGCTTTCAGGCCCGCTGCACCAGCATTTCCTAACTTAAAAGATCCCTTTCCTGATTCTGTTTTTCTATAAATGTCTTAAAAAACCTTACTCTTGCCTGCCTATCCTTGTTTTCTGTTCATTCCGCAGCCTGTGCCAGCCCAGCTTCAGTCTCCTGACCTTGACATTCCTACCTCAGTTCTCCTGAAGTGCCTCTGCAGAAGCGTGGGACAGCTGCCTCCTCCCAGGACCCCCCTCTCCTCTAGCCCTGGGACTCTCACCCTCACTCAATGCCTGTGGTCCTTGGGTCGGCACAGGCCACCATCCCCTCCTGCTCGTCATGCTGAAATTCTGACTCGGCCCCACGCTTGGTTTTTCTTCTTTCCCTCCTCACCCTCAATCTTGGTTCCATCAGTAAGTCTCAGCAGCTCTTACTTCCAGAAGGTACCTTGGCTCTTTCCCAGCTCTGATGCTGAACAGCAGGCCCAAACCCTTTGTCTCTCACCTGCCTGTCCCTGCCCCTCGTGCCCGCCAGCCTGGCTCTCCACTGTGCTGAGAGCAAGTCCCGGGCCTGCCTGCAGCCTGTCCCTCTGCAGTCTCCCTGCCCCTGACCGTCAGCAGGGGACCTAGGCTCTCGGAGTGACTGCCCATTCCCTCTGCACCTTTAGACAGTGGTCCCTAACTTCTTCATGACTCCTTACGCCACCCTTCAACTTACAGACATCTGAGAACTCACTCGTGAGAGGCCGTCTGCAGCGACCCTGTCTCCAAGAGCCTGGCTGACGTGGGAGGAGAGGGCAGGCGGGGTGGGGGTGCAGACCCTGGAGGCCGGACATACTGTGGGGAGAAGACTTACCCTGCAGCAGCTCAGAAGCTGGCGGAGTGTGGCTTAGCTGTAGCCCTGGAACTGAATGGCTTGACTTTTATCGGGCCCCAAACAGGTGGAGAGCCTGGCAGCCAGCGCCCTTGCATGAAACAGCGCAGGCCCAGAACTGCCTGTGGAAGGGGCACCCCGGCCCTGTGCTCCTGGTGGGAGTTGCACAGCACCAGGGCTGACCCTCGGCATCAGAGCAGAGCCCCCGAGACACGTGTGCCATGTAAAAGGAGACACTGGACATGGAAACTTTATTTGTAAACTTCACACAGACACACAGGACCAAGGGCTGGACAGGGAGCCGAGGGAGGCTTGTGCACTCACGCCTGGCGGTCCTGCTCCGAGAGGTGAGGCTTCGGGCAGCCTGGGCTGCGGCCCACGGAGCCGCCCCACAGCGGGAGGACAGGCCGGCCCAGGGCCTTCGACAGATGGGAGTTTACATTTCTGTAGGTTGTTTTGGAGCTTAAATTGTAGTTTTCCAGAAATTAAAACCACTTGGATTTTTTAAGTACCTGGTGAGGTCATCAGGTAAATTAAAGGACTTTTGAAAAATTCTCATTTCTGATCCTTGCTAATATCTGACAGATGCCATCAAGAATAAGTGTTAAGGTATAAAAATACTATATCTATGTACATATAAAATGGCAATAAAACGAAACCACATTTCTAAAGCAGATGCACTCTGCCAGAGGACATGGCATAGTTTTAAGTTAAATGCATTTATATCCTGGCATCACCTCCCACTCTTCCCAAAGAAAAAATATTTTAAATAACTTAAATAAAAGTCAGGGGATGACATTTACTGTTTCGGAATTGGAGCGGGTGGGACGTGCCTGCAGTTCCGCAGCGCGGCTGTGCGCGTGGCTGTCCTTCCCTGAAGCCAGCTCATGCTCAGTTCATTTGGTTTCAAAAGGAGCTTGGATTTTGCAGAAGACCAACAAAAAAGTGGTAAGAGTATTTGTATCAATTACAAAAAAGAAAAATAATAATTCATAAGACCACTAGGAAAAAGGTTTCAATGCCATCACAAAAGACGATACAAAAACCAAAGTGCTCAAATCGAAGGAGCAGTAAATTTGCCCAGAACATATAAAAGCTTTAAATATAAGTTTAGTATATACAAAAATTGGTCAGCATTTTAGAAAGATGTTTCCGTTTAGGTGAAGACCTCGTGGAGAAGCACTCAGGAGACTTGCCCTGGCCCAGCAGTGGGTGTCACAGCCCCGTGCGTCTCCCGGGCCCGCGGGCCCTCCAGGTGCAGCCCTGAGGCTGGTAGAAGAACCAAAACGAGAAGGGGAATGTCAGTTGAGGCCAAGTTTTCAATATTTGTACTCAATCCTCAAGGAAGGTGTCCTCAGTCCTCCACGTTTTCACTAGGGACCGAGCTGCAGGCGCCTGCTGTTCCACATGCCCGAGGGAGGGAGCATCTTCGGGTTTCGGACCATGGCAGCGGGTGCCGTGGGGGTGACGTGACTGCGCCCCGGAGCCTGAAGGCTGCTGCACAGCCGAAGGAACGGATGCAGGGATGTGCGGGACAGCCTAGGTCTTGGGACACCAGCTCAGGAAGCGGCCACCGGCTGGAGCACCTGCTCACAGAGGCTTCCACAGCTGTATGGAGACCCTCCCTTCACAGCCGAACACCTGCGTCAGAGGCTCCTCCATGTGCTAACCTGCCCTGGAGTCCTGCACCCAGGCGAGCAGCTGAGCCAGAACTGGGCAGGGGAGCCAGTGCCTGCATGGGCCACGGCCTCTGGGCTAAGGGGAGGCTGGAGTCAGGGAAGGGGCTCACGCTTGCCGCCACTGGACTGACCTCATCCAAAGGCAGCTTCAGAGCCATCCTCTAGGCTGAGAAACACCTGGGCACGCTGCTCTCCTTTCTCTGCTGCCCCCGGGCCCTTGCCCTGCCCTTGGTGCTGGGATCCAGTGAGTCTCACACCACGGTGACCACACAGGAAGGCCGGCCTCCCCACACGCCTGGAGCAGCAGGCTGTGCTCACAGGCTGGAGTTGGGTTAGAACAGTGAAAAACAAAACTTATTTCGAACTGCTTTTTGGCCTCCATTCTCTGCAAATTGGCCAAAACCTGTGTAGTGCCCACTCCCTGCAGACGCATAGGTGGATAGAAACTCAGGACGTAGGAGGCTGCTCAAGCCCCTTCTGCGTCAGTCCCTGGGACAGAACCAGGCAAAGCAGGGTGACCCGGACAGCAAACCAAACATCTCATTTACAAAGTTGAAACCTGTCTTGCAACTTTAACCTTTTCTGAAAACAACCTATCAAATCACAAGTTTGAAAGTTGATCCTGTTCGTTCTGGCCTCTCATATGCAAAAATAATTATTTTTCTTCAAGTACACCAGAGTAGAAAAGGAAATCCGATTTACTCGGTCCAGTGTGTTAAACTATTATTCCATGGACCAGCCACTCAGTGCCTGACTCACGTAGCCCCACCTCCAGAGCCCAGCGTCAGGACTGTGGCCCTCCGCACCGCTGCACCCGCAGGCCCCCGGAACTGTCTCTGCTAACGATTAGTTCACTTGCTTTCTAGGTAAGAAAGCTATTGGCTTAAATAAACAAGATGTTCCATTACATACATTTCTCTATAGCTTATCTGAAATGTCATCAATAGTGTCTTCTGTTTTTGAACAAGACTAAAAACAACACACTTGGTGTAGAGATTTGTTGACTGCTTCTGGAAGGTTCTGAAATGAGCACTATGACTTAACAGCTCATTTGCAAGAGAAACAATCAATCTGTAATTTTTCGAATTAGGAAAAAGTGGGCTATAAACTTCCATTCTAAATGACAGGGGTGAACCTGCTCTCTCAACAGACCCTGTCCCTGTGGTCTGTGGAGATTCAGCTAGTTTCTGTCACACATGAAAGAGCCAAACTTCATCTTAAAGGCAGAGGTTGAAGAAGGTATTAACTAAACAGATAAGTCATCAGTTGGTTAATTCCTTCTCTAGAACTTGAGACATTAGAAAAAGGTCACTGAAATATTTCAGAAACCACCATGTACATGAAGGGGACATGGACTGGATGGAGCCTTACCCAAGGGAACGGCCGGAAGAGGCTGGCTTGCCAGGTTCAAGTTCAAGAAATATTGCCATCCAGGATGCTTCTATGTTTCCATTACATTAAAGTCTCTTTCACAAAACAGTATTCAAAAGAGAACAGGAGGTCTTCACTTTACTCCCAACCATTGTCTTTGATCATGTGGGCAAGCTCAATAATAAATTTTCCTTCCTTATATTTCTGACTGCTCTCAAAGGCATGTTCCTTGGGGGAAAAAAACAGAGACAGAGCAGGTTTCAGGACAGACTCTTTCACTTTTCAACTTCATTCACTCTGAGCAGAGAAAGTAAGTCTACAGTAACATGTCTCCCCACATTCCCTGTGCTGGGTTTGTGGCTGGGGCCTATCTCGGGTGACAAGCCCACCGAGGGCAGGGCAGGCCTACTGCAGACGTATCATCAAGTTACGGTTCAGCTTGCCAGGAAAAATGAATTCAGATTGTTACTGAGCAGCAGGGCAATTTGGGAGGCAGGAGGAGGAGCGAGAAGCTCCTTCCAGGGACCCCAGGGGAAAGGAGAATGACGGTCACTGCAAGAGCCCGGGCACCGCTCAGAGGTGCTGGGGAGAGAAGGCACTTCATGGGGGGTGTTCAGGATGGACCCGCATCATTCTAAACTTAGTTGTAAATGTTTTATTTATTACAGTAAAGCTGTGTGTCACTCACATATTTCCACCCGAGCGTGGTTTTGCAGTTCTCACAGTAGATGTCTGCAACAGCATGCAGGCCTGTGAGGAGGACTCTCTCCTCTGCGGGGCCACAGCCCACGTTCACCCTGCAGGGAGAGGCGGCAGGTGCTGAACCCTGTCCCCGGAGGGGCCCCGGGCTGACAGCAGCCTTTCCCCCACTGCCTGGAGGGGCCACCCTGGCTCCCACCCTGGGTCGTGATTTCTTACGTCAACTGGTTACCAGACGGGCAGCAGTGTTTCTTCTTAACTTCACAGCTCCCCCAGCCCCTGCTCATCACTATCTCTTAGGAGAAGGGACTTTTTATGTCTCCATGAGAATCCCAGGCCGGGACAGGCTATGGAGGTGACCATAGTTCTGCTGTAACAAAACTCAAAATCTACCACAATGGGAAGTAAACCACAGCGTGTGTGAGGGACTAATTTCTCAGTTAAGAGCCTTACGCTTTCCTGAAACTCTCAATTCTTTAAGATTATGTGAGAGACATTGGGTAATTCTAGACCACTGGTGACACTGTTTATATATCCCAGCTCTGAGTAACGAAATGGGTACGCGGAAGCGACGAATGTGATCTGACAGTGAACACAGCATGTCTGCAAGGCCAGTGGCAGCGATACTCACACAGAATTGAAGAGGTAGGCGCGTCCCTGACTCCCCTGAAAGGACTGCAAAGAAGAAAAACGTTTTAAAAGATCTGTTGTGATATGACAGAAAGTGATGGTGAGCTTTGCATTGTGGAATGAAAGTGGAGAAGCTGTGTTTCAGGTCATGGGCCTTGACACGAGTTGAAAGGCTGCCCTGCAGAGTGAGGGGCTGGTGCTCGGGCAGGAGCAGGACAAGCCTGTTCCCAAAGAGAGGGCCTGGAGCCCCGCCCCTTCCTAGAGCCCCTCCCCTCCCCGGAGCCCCGGAGGGGCTGCCAGGTGTTCTCACTCTGCCAGCACAGGACGTACCACATCTGTCAGGTATTAGGGGCAAGGGGACATTTCCATGCTTTTCCACTGAAATAAAAAGAAAGTCATAGTCCAAGACGGCCCCTTACTTGAAGGAAAGGACAGCTCACTCCAGGAGAGTATTATAAGCTAAGAAATATTTACGTGTTCTAAGATGATTTAGGAGGCAGAATGGGGTATTAGTACCTCCCTGATATAATCTGGTCAGTCTCAGACTTAGTTCTCACAACCCTCACTCTCCTGGGAACAAGAGGGAACATGGCTGGGGGCTCGTCTACTCTGGTGCCCAGCTCAAATGACCAAACAGAACAGATGGATTGCAAAAATAACCAGGGAAATGCAAACTGAATCAAGAACACTGCCTGAGTTTCTTTGCCTGCCACCTAGCACAATTCAAGACTGTGAAGAAACTTCACTGAAGCACAAGTTCACAGTATCAAAATGTGAGAAGCTGCAATCCCATTCCATGAGCTGGCTGGAAAGAACAAATCAGCATGAGTGCATAAGAAGGTGACAAGAAGGGTCACCATTACAGTATTTATAATTGCAAAAAAAAAAGGGAGACAGATATCCACCACCAAGTGAGCAAACACGTGCACTCATTTCCTATCTGGAACTCGTGCCGACATTAAAAGGAGACAGCAGACCGGTGTGAGTGGGCGTGGAAAGGCAGGCATAGAATACTGTTAAGTGGAGAAAGCTAGCTGTAAAATCACATGTGGTGAGCTCTTTTTTTAAAATTTCTTTTCTTTACTGATTTCAGAGAGAGAGGAAATGAGGGAGAGACAGACAGAAACATCGATGAGAGAGAACATTGACTGGCCACCTCTTGCACACCCCCCACTGGGGATTTGGCCCACAACCTGGGCATGTGCCCTGACCAGGAATCGAACCAGCAACCTCTTGGTGCATGGGTCGATGTTCAACCACTGAGCCACATCAGCCAGGTTTTTTTTTTTATCCTCACCCGAGGATATTTTGCATTTATCTTCAGAGAGAGTGGGAGGGAGAGAGGGAGGAAGAGAAAGAAACATGGATGTGAGGGAGACATACTGATTGGTTGCCTCCTGCATGTGCCCTGACTGGAGCCAGGGATCGAACCTACATGAACCCAGGCACATGCCTTTGACTGGGCATCAAACCCTCGACCCTTCGGCGCGCAGGCCGATGCTCTAACCACTGAGAACATCAGCCAGGATGTGCCACAAGAATTTTTAAAACATGCAACACTGAACTACTTAGTCAGGGGCACTGACCGTTTTCCCTTCTATTGTCAAGTTAAAAAATGACAACAGCCAACACAATAGCTGTCCAGTGTGAATGAATCAAAATTATACCTGTTTTGTCTGTCAGGCAAAAAAAAAAGATCTTCTGGCGTGCCACAGAATTTCAGTAATTAGTTTCGTGTGCCAGGAGATGGCAGGGCTGGGAATCGCTGAAGGCAGGGAGGAAAGCAGCCTTCACTCCGTCACCGGCTGAAACGCACCTGACTCCTGGCAGCGGCGCTCGGGAGGAGTCTCGGCTCGCACCCTTCCGCCCTAAAATGCTCCTTTAACGTCGTGACCGTTCCCACGTGGCACGCCTCTGCTCTTGATGCAACTTTAAAAACAGCTCAACGAACATAACAGTCTGAGGAACGGGGTAGTCCCAGAGACGTGGAAGTGGGGTACAGACTGACAATCCCCAGAAGAGGGGGTGGGGGAGAGATGAACCACAGAACTTATATGCAGGTATGCGTGAACAATGAACAAAGCTGGGGACAGGGCGGGGGGGGGGGAGATGGGGGGTATCAGTGGGGGAAAAAGGAGAAACATCTGTAACAAAAATAAATTTAAAAAAAAAACAAAAAAACCCAGCTCAATGGCCTTAGGGTTCTTTGGAAGCAGCGGCTGGAGCTCCTCTGGCCCATCTCATGATGGATCCGCTCAAATGCTTCAGAACAAAGACCGGGATGGTGCTCGACACTGACGCCTGCTTGGTTGTCTCAAGGTCTGCGAGGGGACACTGAGCCCGACCTGGAGGCCCAAGCGCTCTGCTGTGCCTGAGGCACCCCCTTCTCACCTGGAACCTCCTAATGGACAAAGGAGCCACTGAAGCAATGAGAACAGGGACTCCTGCCTCGATGACCAGTTTTTATTTCAGATAGTGAACAGAAATGAGACAACCTCTCGTTATAGCCTAGTTAAAACACAAGCAGGTAAATGTTCTTCTCACTGAGTGAAACAAGAAGCCTAAGTGGGGGTTCCTGAAAGGTACAACTTCCTGATGGACTTAGTTTTTGAAAGACATGGGGTTCATGTAGCACAGGAAGGCAGACCTGTGAGGGTGGGAGGACAGCATGACCTGTGAGGGTGGGTGGAGGGGGTCATGACCTGTGAGGGTGGGTGGAGGGGGTCATGACCTGTGAGGGTGGGTGGAGGGGGTCTTGACCTGTGAGGGTGGGCGGACAGCATGACCTGTGAGGGTGGGTGGGGTCAACACCTGTGAGAGTGGGGAGGGGGTCATGACCTGTGAGTGTAGAGTCATGACCTGTGAGTGTGGGTGGAGGGGGTCATGACCTGTGAGTGTGGGTGGAGGGAGTCATGACCTGTGAGTGTGAGTGGAGGGGGTCATGACCTGTGAGTATGGGATTATGACCTGTGAGTATGGGTGGAGGGGGTCATGACCTGTGGGGGTGGGGGTGGGAGGGAACTGTCACTGCTTCCCAAGGGAACATTCACTCATCCACTATGTTAGAACTGTTTCAAATGTTCACAAGTGGTTGATTATAAGCATTACATAATGTAATTAAGAGTTCGACCTAATAAGAATGGGGCCTGGCCGGTGTGGCTCAGTGGTTGAGCGTCGACCCATGCACCAGAAGGTCACCGGTTTGACTCCCGGTTGGGACACATGCCCAGATTGTGGGCCCAGACCCCAGTGGGGAGCATGCAGGAGGCGGCCAACTGATGTTCTCTCTCATCGATGTTTTCATCTCTACCTACCTATCCCTCCCTCTCTCTCTATAATCAATAAAGAAAAAAAAAGAAAAGAAAGAATGGGGCTGTTCTTGTCGCAGCTACCAGGCGCTCCGGGTGCTGTAGAGAGTGCCCAGAGCTGCGCTCCGGGGCATTTTCCTGAAAGAGCCCATTCCCCACATGGCAGCCTCTTTTCGTCTGAACCAGTCTCAAGTTTTTAAAAATTCTTAATTCTCTTATTAAACTATTTCCACAGATTTTCTAGACTTCTTTGTTCCTTCACTGTGTCTGCTTTCACACTAATTTTACTGCTCTGACAAGTAACTGGCTCATCGTGCTCTCTGTGGTGTGCGGGAGTCCCAGCCGCCAGGGGTCAGGAGCGCGGGCACCAGGGCATCGTGCACACAGCTCCAGCAGTGCTGCCCAGAGGCTCCGGGCTGCCAGGACGCAGCCAGCCCAGGGAGCCGTGGGACGGTTCCCTCTTCATCTGCTAATTAGGAATAATAATCACTGTTCAGGGAATCTCATCAATGTCTAGACACAAACCACTTGCCTTGGAAATCAGCTCGTCGTGATTGGCCAGGTGGGCTCTGCAGTGGACACAGCTGTACGTTCGGTGACAGTTTGGCAGATAAGCTTGGAAAGTTTTGGACTTTGTCATCTTCACCATCTCTGCGGGGCACTGCGCGCTCAGCTCAGGGCTGGCCCTGCAAGGGCGGCTCTGCTGGGCTCTCTGACAGAGGAAACACTGGAAGATGCTCGCAAGAGCCGTTGTTGTTCAGAGGGCGTGTGGCACTGTCCACACAGCTGGGGCGAGAGAAAAATGTCACAACCTGTCAATAAATAAGACAAACAGTGAGTTATGGAGAGAATGAAATAGTCAAGAAGGTGTGTGTTAGGATACATGTATGGGCAGGACTGGAAGTTAAAGATCTAGTCCTTTTATATTACTTATACATAAAAACAATACTTTTTAAATCTTTTTTATTTTTGTTAATCCTCACCCGAAGATATTTTTCATTGTTTTTCAGACAGCGTAGAAGGGAGGGAGTGGGGAGAAAGAGAGAGAGACACATCACTGGTTGCCTCCCAAAGGGGATCAAACCTGCAACCCAGGTATCTGTCCTTGACTGGGAATTGAACCCAAGACACTTCGGTCTGAGGGCTGATGCTCTTAACTGCTGAGCCAAACTGGCCAAGGCTTTCTTTTATCTTTATTATTGAAAGTATTACAGATGTCCCCTCTACATTCCCCTAGAATACTAATACTTGATCGCTGATTAACCATTCTAAATTTAGTTGAACATGATAGGTGAGTTACATTTACATACAAATAATTTGAGAAAATGTGTGATCAAATGCATCTTATACTGTGTGTGGCTTCAGGGAAAGTGAAAGAAAAGAGCAGCCAACAAAGTTCCCATCCGAGTGCGGCGACGGCAGCACTGGATACATGGACTGAATGACTCAAGGCACCACGACATGTACGAATAAATGATGGACCCACTTAGTCAACAACCTTGAAGAAGTGTATCTGCCCTGGTCAGTTTGGCTCAGCGGTGAGAGCATTGGCCAGAAAAACTGGACGCCCACCTGCAAAAAGATGAAGCCTTTCCATACACCATATACAAAAATGAACTCCAAGTGCATCAAAGACCTAAACTAAGAAATAAAACTGTAGCCCTGGCCAGTTTGGCTCAGTGGTTAGAGTGTCAGCCCGTGGACCAACGAGTCGCGGGTTTGATTCCGATCAAGGCCACGTACCTTGGTTGCAGTTCGTCCCCGGCCCTGGTTGGGAGTCGTGCAGGAGGCAACCAGTGGATGTGTCCCTTTCACATCGATGTTTCTCTCTCTCCCTCCCTCCCTTCCACTCTATCTGAAGATAAACAGACAAATATCCTCGGGTGAGGATGGGAAAAAAATGGAGAAATAAACCAGTAAAACTCTTAGAATAAAATACAGCCAGAACTTTGACAGTGGGTTCGGCAGGGCCTTCCCGGATGACGCCAGAAGCGCACAGGTGCAGACGTGCAGGAAGGAAAGTGAGCAGATAGTGGGGCCCAAGCATTCCATAAAGACAGAGGCTGAGGATTTTCCAGAACTGAAGAAAGACACTAATCCACAGAGTTAAGTCCAATAATTCCAAATAGAATGAAAAAAAAATAAAGTCACATCTGGCCACATAATAAAAAAACTGCAGAAAACCAAAGGAAAAGGGGGGGGGGCCGTTTAAGTATCCAGAAGGGGAAGGAAAACGACCTTTCCACAGTACAACTTCCCAAGGAAAACAACGGAACCCGGAGGGCAGGAGGGAAAGGAACCGTTAAGGCTCTGAAGGATAGTAACTGCTATCCTAGAAGTCCATATCCAGCAAAAATATCTTTCAAGGAATTGGGGAATGATATTTTCAGACAACTAAATAGTTTGATCTCGGCCAAGTATCACTAAAGAAGTTCAAGGATGGCCCAGCTGGTGTGACTCGGTGGATGGAGTGTCGCCCTATGGACTGAGAGGTCCTGGTTTCCCGGGTCAGGACATGTGACCGGGTTTCCGGCTTGATCCCCAGTAGAGGGCGAGCAGGAGGCAGCCTATGGATGTTTCCCTCTCACGTTGATGTTTCTATCTCTCTCTCTAAAAAATCAATAAAAATATTTTTAAATAAATAAACTTCAGACTCTAAAAGAAGGAATGGTGAATAAAGAAAATGGTAAACATGCAGGTAAACAGAACAGTGACTTTAAAAAGATACGATTATGATACATGACAACAATAAGGGGACAAACTCAAATGAAAATGTTCCTGAGTCCCTGTATTGTCCAAAAATAATTTAGATTCTAGTAAGTTAAGGAGAAATGTAATTTCTGATGAAACTTCTATAAGAACAACAGTGTATAACTTCCAAACCTATAAAGGGAAATATCAGGGAATGATAACATGTTCCTAAAGGGAGGCAAAAAAGGAGAGGAAAAGGAACACAATAGAAAGACCAGGAAAGCCCTGGCTGCTGTGGCTCGTATGTCTAGAAATTAAGAAATTACTTTTATAGCCCTGGCCGGTTTGGCTCAGCGGTTGGAGCGTTGGCCTGCGGACCAGAGAGTCCCGGGTTGGGTTCCCGCTAGGGGCACGTACCCATGGGTCTAAAAATAATGAAAATTAGAAACTGTTTAAAAGAAAACTTGAATACACTAGAGAGGCTCAAAAAAGCCCAAAGTTAGTTCTTGCAAAAGGCAAATAAAATTGGCAAACCTCTGGTGAGTCTGGTCAGGACAGAGAGGAAGAGAGATCACGTAGGTGGAATAAACTGTTAGAAATGGAAGGGACAGCACACTTTTGGGATAAGCTTCATGGATAAGAGCATCGATGGTGTGATCAATTTAAGTCAATATATTTAAAATGGAAACCACATAGATAAATTCTTACAATAAATAGAACTTTTCAAAACTGACTCAGGAAGAAATAGAAAACTAGAATAATTCTTTAACATGAAAAAACGAAATCTCTGGTAAAATGTTTCCTCCCCCAATATATACACATACAAATCAAATCAACCAAAAGGCCCAGCATCACGGGTAAATTCTACCAAATAATCTGACAAAAACTCTTCTAGAAAAAGTCAGCTTAGCCCTGGCCAGTTTGGCTCAGCGGTTGGAGCGTCGGCCTGCAGTCCAGAGACACCCGGGTTTGGTTTCCGCTAAGGGCATGTACCTCGGTTGCAGTTTGTCCCCAGCCCTGGTTGGGTCGTGCGGATGGCAGCCACTTGATGTGTACCTTTCACATCGATGTTTCTCTCTCTCTCTCCCTCCTGCTCTATCTGAACAAAAAATGGAAGTGTCCTTGGGTGAGGATTAAAAAAAAAAAAAAAAAAAAAAAAAAGATAGCTTAACCTGATACCAAACCTCAATCAGGGAAGTACAAGAATAAAATTCACTATAGTTTACTTCTCAGGAACCAAGATGCAAATATCCTAAATAATATCACCCAACAGAATCTAATACCATTTAAAAAAGATAATACAATTAAGGTGATGTTATCACAGGAATACAAAATCATTTAACATTAGAAAATGTAGTTAAATAAATTTACCAACTATTGCTTTCATTTTTTTTTTTAATTTATTTTTTTATCCTCATGTGAGGACATTTTTGGATTTATCTTCAGGTAGAACGGGAGAGAGGGGGAGGGAGAGAGAGAGAAACATCGATGTGAGAGAGACACAACGAGTGGTTGCCACCCACACGACCCCAGTTCCCAACCGGGGCCGGGGACAAACTGCAACCGAGGTATGTGCCCTTAGCGGGAACCGAACCTGGGACTCTCCGGTCCACGGGCCGACGCTCTAACCACTGAGCCGAACAGGCCAGGACCCACCTATTGCTTTCTTAAGCTGTTTATTTCAATGGACGTAGAAAAAATACCTGACAAAATTTAACACCCATTCCCAATTTTAAAAACATTTCATGAAGACTAAGAACATAAGGGAACTTATCTGTTAAGAGGCATCTACAAAAAAACCCCACAATAAACATCACACTTAATGTTTATAAGATTTAGAAAACATTCTTTGTGAGGTCAAGAAAAAAACTAGGATGCTTTCTACACCACTGCTTTTTTTTTTTTTTTTTTAAAGAATAGTTCACTGATTTTTAGAGAGAGAGGAAGGGAGAGGGAGAAACAACCATGTGACAGCATAACATAGACTGTCTGCCTCCTGCACGCCCCCTACCGCTGATGGAGCTCCCGACCTGGGCATGTGCCCTGACTGAAAATCAAACCAGAGACCTTTTTACACCACCTCTTTTATTCTGCACGACTAGGCACCCCAGCCAGCTCATGTAGGGCAAAACAGGTGAAGAGCCGATGAAAACGTGTTCTCCACCCAAATCTTCCAAGGCTCCAGTCCTGTCCCTTCCACCAGAGTTATCAAGAGCGTGACACTGGCTTGGGGAAAAAACAGGTCAATGTGACATGAAAGAGCTCAGAAACAGACCTACACATATCACAGAAGGGCCAGCTACAACAAAAGTGACACTGTGGCTCACTGGGGAAGAGCAGATTTTAAAACATGGTGCTGGACAATTGTGTATCTAGGAAGAAAAAAAGTTGGATCTTATTTCATGCCATAAACAAAAATGAATAACTTATCATACTTCCCAACAGAGAAAACCAGTTAGCACAACTACAGTGGAGGCCATTTCCAAGCAGGGGACACAGGCCCAACCCCACACTCCTGTCTTCTACAATGAAGCCTGTTTCCTTCTCCAATACATGGTCTTCACAATCAAGTGTTAAGGTATTTCTGAACAAGCTTGATTGTATCAGATATTCCCAATTAAATTCCTCAAACATACTTTTTTCTCCCATTAGCTGCCATTAAATCACGTGTCCATCCTGAATTCTTCTCTTGGGTTTCTTCAGAATCAAGGACAAGATGTTACCCAACTCAAGGGGTTCACTGCTTGGGGTGCTCTATTTAAGGTTGTTGCGAGGTAGTTTTATTTACTTGCAGCAAGTTCAAGGATACAGGATTCATATTCAAAGCTCTGTCACAGGAAGGGAGGCTTCGCCATTGCTTATATATACTCTTTGGTTAATTACACATTGATTTCTTCTTTGCAGTTAGCTACATTAATCTGTTGGGTTCCTGTCATGCTTATCTTATTTACAGCTGGTCTGCAAAATACTGTGCTACATTTTAACACTTAGCAAGAATAACAGTAGTAACATTTAGAACTGCCCAGACCTTGAGACTCTTGCCCTGTCCAACAAAGGCATTACATTAGCCCCAATACAACAGATCAGATTTTATCTGTTGCTCCAGCCTACTGGACCTTTA